GTCAATCAAAATTGCGCGGATTAGAAAGAAAATTCAGCAAGAAAGAATCGATTGATTAGTTTAATAGGTTAGAAACTTTAAAAGTGAACGTTGAACAGAGCAATGTACCAATTTCCCGTGTGCTAAGATAAAGATCTCTGAACAGTCATGTAATAGAAAACTCAAAACCCTATTTCAATTACGTCTTATTCATTTTACTATGCGATTTTCTATAATACTTTCCACTACTAAAATCCAATGCTTCTAGTACAACTATACCCAATGATTCAATTTTGCCATAATTATCGTCGAGTAAGACAAATAAAATAAGAAACAAATAAACCTATATCCCGATAGGTCATGTCATAAATTTGGGCAACTAATAGTTTAAATTGGCAATAAATATGTTTAAAACGCAAGTTTGATTTGAATTAAAATGATTAAATCGTTGGACGCATGTCAAACTCTCTTAACATAGTCATTCACCTTAAAGGGATAGTGAGGAGTTTTTCTAAACATTTTATGCGTATCGGTGGTATTTGTGAATTCTCTTTGCATCATTCCGATTTTCTGTCAGATGGTACCCGAATTCATAGAAACGCAAAATCATAGAAATGCTTAAAGGTGGGTTTCCTTATTTTGTAGTGTCAAATTAAGCAAACTATTTGATTAATTGGTGTTTCTAATGAATTATCAGGTATTCTTAATGTTATTATTGCATATAATTAAGAGTTTTAACTAATCATAAATGTCAATGTATATATAGTCTGGATAAACAAAAAGATACTTTTTGACCTTTCTTGATCGGTCACTCATTGGAATTCTGCTGGTAATTTTCTTCTAATTATGAATTAATTATTTACATGTGAAACAGACTGGTATTTTTCCAAGTCATTAGAACACCTCTACTTTCTAAAAAAAGTAAAAGCATTTTCATTTTCATAAATGGGAACCCATCTTTAACCTTATACGATGGCAAGAAGGAAATGTAGTTAATATTAGACGAAAATGAATTGCAAGAACTAGCTAGATATCTCACGTTTCCTGTTCGTTGGTGAATCCATCGTTTTTCGCTTTCTACTTTGCAATGTTTAGTGAGAGTCATTGAAATCACATGTCGTTCAAATCTTCAAACGCGAAATCACAGGAAGCAATTTTGACCGGGTCTTATTTTCAAGGAAATATGCTTTCGAATTTCTAACTTTATTGATAAATTTTAGAGTTGGAAACCATTGCTGTCATAATGACAATTATCTGTATCCTAAATTGTAACATATCTTTTAAAAATGCATGATTTAAATTAAACTTGGGTAAAATAGAAAAAAAAATCACTATTTAATCTGGCAGTAGTATGAAATGTTACACTGGTATGTGGTAATTTTGCCAAATCATCTGTGAGAGACATTATGATCAATATAAAAAGTTTTTAACAGACCAAATCACCTTACCATTTATTGATTAAAGTCTCTTGGTACACTTTTAAGACCCTGTCATTTAAACTCTCGGTTGAATGTGTATTAACGTACACAATTCTTTAAAATCTTCTCTTTGTAATATTATGATTCACAATGATAAACCTGCTAGACATTCCCAGTTTCAATGATTGACACCTCTATATAAATGTTGTATTATGAATGATAAACCTGCTAGACAAGTTTTTGTTATTTTCCCAGTTTCAATGATAAACCTGCTAGACACATCTATATAAATGTCGATTCTCAATGATAAACCTGCAAGACAATTTTTTTGTAATATTCCCAGTTTCAATGATAAACCTGCAAGACACGTCTATATAAATGTTGTGAATCTCAATGATAAACCTGCTAGACACGTCTTTATAAATGTTGTGAATCTCAATGATAAACCTGCTAGACACGTCTATATAAATATTGTGAATCTCAATGGTAAACCTGCTAGACACGTCTTTATAAATGTTGTGAATCTCAATGATAACCTGCTAGACACGTCTTTATAAATTTTATGATTCTCAGTGACAAACCTGATAGACATCTCTTTGTAATATTATGATTCTCAATGATAAACCTGATAGACATCTCTTTCACATATAATGATTCTCAATGATAAACCTAAAAGACATCTCTTTGATATATTCTGAGTTTCAATGATAAACATGATGGACTCTTTGTAATACTCCTTGCTTTTTGTAACATACAGTGTTTCAAATATTAATGACCTTTTTTTGGCACCTTTAAAGTCATGACTATAACGGGATATAAAACTGGTGGATATTCTTAAAGCCACGAGCGGAAAACAACATCAGTGACATTTTCCTTTCTTTTCAATTGAATTCTTTTTCTTATGGGATTGGTGTATGACGCTATATGGTTTCCCACCAATTTTGTCTGTATTGTATCAAGGCTTAACTTGAACATGATGTGTCTAACTTCAGCTTTCAAGTCACCTTGTTATAATATTTTGATATTGAATTTCTAGAGATACTGGATTAAGTCAGCTTAATGTAACGTTGATCTATAGTGTCTTTTTATCACCTGTCCTCGCCGCAATAAATACGATCTGAAATTGATGTACGTTTAAAGGTGATTAAATTCTATCATCATTGCACAAAGACGCCCGTGGTTCATGCCATCCCCAAAAACAAGCGATTTATGACGTCATTATCACAAAAGCTGCTAATACTATCTAAGGGCCTATGGGATAGTTGCTTCTCGACATAAGTTTCGGTGGAATTGCAAGAACTACAGACGTCTGAATGGAAATCAGTGTTCTCAAGACACATAAAACGTTCAGAAAACCACTTTTCAATCCTTCTATCATCAATAGTATTTGTAACGGCCGATTGTCTTCAATTGCCTTTGCTTTGAAGAATAAACCGCACAATGAAATATTTTAATGTGAAGTTTCCCGTGTTCATGACGTGTAATTAGATGTGGATAAATTTAATTTCAATAATTGTCGTCGTGAACATTCAATATGTGACGGGGTTTCGTTCAGTGTGACGTTCATGGAGGAAAAGTCGTAAGTATTTCAATCAGATTGAAGTTAAAATATACAAGGCGAGATCTGAACAGCCGTATTACCTTCAACAACCACTTTATCGAACTGTTTACATATTGAAATATTTTGAAAACTTTGTGTGCAAAAATGTGTATATTTTGTAGGCGGTTTGAGTATTTTACTTCAAATATTCGTAGCATTCCCGAGTTGGCACTCTCTTAAAGGCCAGTTATTTTTTTAACAACCATTTTAGCCGTGAGCCATATCAATTACTTGTATGTTTTCCTCAGAATGACGACTTGTTTTTGTCTTGTTTAAAAAAAAACGGATCTATTTTGATGTGAAACTCCTCAATCTGTCGATGTAGGGTTTCTTAGATTTGCAGATATAGATATTTCGTTTTTTGTTAAAACAGATTTGTAAAAAAAAAGCACAATATATCACTACTATGTAAAAAAGCCAACTTTCCAGGATAATGATATACAGACTCTTGAACAGTGGCTTTTTAAGGGTCATAAAGAGAGGGGGCCGAATAGAAGTCGACAGGGTTGTCTTGTTTGAAATTTCATTAGACCATTAGAATCTTATTATCTGACGCAGGATTTTTTATTAGCTAAGCTAATCAGTTACATAGTGTTCATTAGTCACCGTTGTAATTGGAGCCATCAGAATGTCCAGAATTATCCGCGCTAGAAAGTGATAAAGACGACTCGTCTTTTCTTTCTTGAGACATTTTCTTGCAATATGCTATATAGAAGATAATTATATTATATACAGATACAGTGAAATTCCTTGCTTAAGGTATACTTGGAGGCATTTTCGTACATTTCTGGTATTACTGAAGACTATTTACATTCAAATCCCCGAAAATGGCGAATCGGTCTCTTTAAGACGATGTTAATTAATATTTTTCAGATTGATTTGACCAGTGGTCGAGGTGTTTTGACCGTATGGCTACTCAACTATAAAAATGTTAAAGGAAGAACTTATGATGGTAGTTGTTGTGATTATGCGCCTACTGGTTCTGATACCTGTCCAGATCAATGTGATTATGTGATGAGATGTATCGTAACCGGTCTTGGCAGGTAAACCATTCTTCTTTCTTGTCGATAATCATACCAGTTACTTTCTCTCTCCTGGTAGTTTCTCGTTGATTCAGAATATAAAATTCCGTGCCATTTTATGAGACTACAAGGGTATACGAGTTAATTTTATATATGAACCATGAGGACAGGCAGAGTAAACAGGAAAAGCATTTCGAAGGTGTTTTGAATTCCTAACCTTGCTAATTGGACACAGAACACTTTTAGTTTCTTATTGCACCATTATATCCAGGTCCGACGTCTTTGGTTCCCGCTATTTCACAAAACTTCGTTATTTTCACATTCTACTGAAATGGTAACTGTGATAATGACGTCATAATCTTGTCATTTTGTTCTTATGATTACACTCGACTCGACTGAGAATCCGAATGGTGCAAATAGAAGCTGTAAGTTTCCTGGATACGCTGCCTATAAAACCCTTTTAACATTCATCACAGTATACCATTGTCTAACAGAATTCAAATAAACACAAATCCATTAGATTTTAGTCATTAGATATATTATATTGTTCAGTAATGTGTTTAAGACAATCAAATACATATTACTATTAGCGTTAAATGAAACTCTTTCAAATCTATATATAGAGACGAAACAAATTATAAATAACACATCTTCTGAAACACTTTCGAAATATGCTGATTCTTATCCTACTTCTGCTTTTCCAATCCGTTTATATGATGATGGATGGTTGGCGATGGCTGACATAAAATTGATTAGAACTTTTTTGGCGACTATAAACCTAACCACCGTGTTCTATAGGCATTCGAGCATTGTACGCTTAATGATGCTACCCTATGTATTACTCCAGCAGAAAAATAAGAAGTAAAACTCTTTTAAGAATATCTCATGTTTTCTATGATAACATTACTGTCAAGTAATTCTCTCCCCGGGTGGTTCATTTAACTTCATTAAGCCTTAAAGTCAATATTGAACAGATAATCTTCATATTGTTGAACGATTTTTGAAATAACATTCACAAAGCAACACCAAAACAGCCGACAGAACTCCAACCAAAAATACTAATATTAATCCATACAGATCATTCAATTGCATAGGCCTTCTCTCTGCAGGAATTTTACACATATTGGGTTGTTGATCTTTGTATACATTGTCCACAAATCTTTGAAGAAAGCCGTTATCCGATAAAGCCATCATTGTTTTCTTTACATGTTTCTGAAGATATGAATTTTTAGGAACAGTTATAGCTGCACTTAACGTTGAAAGGACACTTTCGACCACTCCAAACAGACAATGGTTGCTACTTAACAGTGCATAATTAGGATCTACAAGAATAAAAGCGTAATTCTCATTCACGTTAGAGTTCAGCACTTTAGCAATATGCCGATTATAGTCTACATCTAAAACAGTTGGATCTGTTTCATTAAACTTAATGATACCTTCCCAAATCTGCTTATAGGGCGCTGAAGTAGCACTGGCTAGCTGTTCGTGAACGTACCCCCCTTTACCTATACCCCACTTCCAATCTGACAGTGGGGCCAACTTTTCTAGGCTATTAAACGGCATTGTTTCCACAGTTTCTGTTAAAGTAGCTGTTAGATTACCCACATAGCTTGCTGATATTACGATGCTAAACATCCACAAGAACGCTATCAGTATTCTGGAAGCATCATTTCTGGATCTCAGCCCGTTTGCGTTCATAGAAAGGAAACCGACCATATTTGTGATAGATGACAAGATCCTAACCACGCGTATTCGAGATGCAGATTGACATATCCGACTATCAATGACGTAAAATAAAATTCCCAAAAATATCGAAATTTCAATCAAGCAGATGTATACTGCAGATTGCAAAGGCCGAAATAATTTTATCCATTTAGTTTCCATGTGGCCACTTTTCTTCAATAGAATCCCCATTTTCTGTATATGAAACGCGGGAAAAATGAAGTCAATGACTTTGAACCTGTCGTCAGTAACAGTCAGTTCTGCGATAACCATATCCACTTTCTGGCTGATCAGATCTCCTACTAGTCCTGTCCATGAGCCGTTTACTTCCCGTCCAAATTCTTTATCTTCTGGTTGAACTATGGTGTACGTAAAGTTTAAAATTTGCGCGATGATTGATGTAAGTTTGACTAATTCTCTGTTGAACGAGTTTATTTCCATGCCTTTTTCAATCATGTGTATTGTGTTATATGAGTAGATTGTTCCAATCTTCAAGTGTCGTCTATCTAATTTGTAATTTAAGTTTGGAAATATATCCCTTACTGAACAGTCTTTAGAATAATCTGAACACGCGAGTTTGACTATATTCTGGGTCTCAACAATGGTTAAAAGTTCACGAAAATTCTGCTTCCACTGTAAGATCAAAACATGACGAAGTTGCCATTCAAATTTTACAATTGCTGTATTTTCCGGATTGTCATTAACTACAATCCATTGAGATTCAAGTCTAAAATCGGTGGTTTTATTTGATTCCACATCAAATGAATTGAGGACTGTTAGAAAGTCTATGATTGAAGAACTGTACAACAAAACATAACCATCAGGTGATATTCTATAGCATACATCTAGGGTTTTCTTCAGTTTTGTCTTTTTCATATTACCAATATCCATTAAGGTTATTCGAGTGTCATTATGACTTATCTCTAAACTGGTTACCAATTCACTGAGTAAGGTATCTTCCGAAAATAAAATTACTATGCTTTTCCAGTGCAATATCTTGACTAAATTCTCGATAACCTTAATACAATGTACATTGCAATTATTTTTAGGAACTTGTGATTCGGAAAGAGTGAACAATTCGACCATTAATATACAGATTATAAAACAACTAAAACACGCTGCAACAGACATGTCTGTTTTCATCCTGCATCCAAATACATTAATGTGTATGATTTTATTGTAATAATTTTATCTCTAAATCTGCAAATGTAATTGTTTGATGGAAATTCAATTTCCATTGTACAAATATACATTACATGCGCCAAACTAATGTACCTGTATTATATGTTATTGTTAAAGGAATTACTTCATCTAATTCTGTTATTCCACACGACACAAAAGTAAAACAATTTGTAGCGATGTTGTTTTTCAGAAAGAGTCAGCCACACTTAATAAAATAATATACCGGCAAGTAGAATATAGAATACCAAAGGACCGAAATTCCAGGTTTCATGTTAGCATTCTAAGCACTGGAATCATTGGATTGAATACATTTTGACTTTGGCGAAGGATCAATTGCATCTGCTGACTGCCCCTTCCAAGTCTTTATAATCCGACTCACTGTAAGGAAGTACCGACATATATTGTGGGTGACCGCTTGAAACCTATATATGACGCAAAATTACTTTTTGAGAAAAACGCAAAGAACTATTGTATGTATGTTAAAATCTTATTTATTATTTTTTTTACCGCTATACGTGGAAAATTCAAATCTTGTATAACAATTTGAGTACTCCGACCTATTCAACCAATAAGTTGTATAATAGTACAGTGTGCGAGGTTTTTCGTTTTTATCCGCAGAAAAAGGAACATTGAACCTCGTAAAAAATAATATTTTAGGAGGTTTTAAATCTGACTGTTTACGTAATAAGTGGTTTTGGAGTTATTTGCAATCAAGCTAAGAATAAGAGGTTTTGATCACAAGATCCGCGCTTTTACGAGCTTTCGAAGTCAAAATGACCAAATATGGCATATACGAGAATTCAAGCGGTCACACACGATATAGTTCTGTATACTTAAAAGGGTGTAGAAATTTGAAACGAAAAAAGAAGCAAAAAACTCAAGACAAAATAAAAAAGAAATAAAGGATCCAATGCCTTGAAATATAATATATTATATTATACATCTATTTTAATGTTTTGATACTGGTATATGTTGAAACAGTTATATTATATTGTTTATTGTTTGCTGTTACTTAGATCATTCATTAAGACAGATCAAACAAATTGGTCCAAAGAACATTTATTGGGGGCTTGAAGCTATCACTATGCCATTTTGACACTTTTTTTTTAAAAAAAATTAACAGAGACACAATAAATTCCCTAATAATTACCGGTCTAATTCTGTTCTAAAATTTCATGAATCACGGGCGTCACGCGGGATATTGAATTGGTGTTGATAAACTTTGTATGTACAGCTAATACAGTGTTAATTTTCAGATATTCGTACTACTTTACATGACAAATATTCAGGGCATGGCTCATGTGCAATTAAAAGAACGTATGTGAAATGGCATCACTTCCCACACCGTTATTGGTATTTTCTCGAAAAGTTACAACCTATGAGGTCATATAATGAAAATAAAAATGTCTTCACATCCAATTTTCATTTTGAATTGAAACGTGATGCGGTAGCTTAAATTAATTTCTTTTCTCCAAAAACAAACATAAGACGACCATATATATTATCAGCCAAATTAAAAATGTTCTTCATTCATAACAAGTTTAACAATATTATTCTCTTTCAGGGCCAACGACCATGTGTTCCTCTTTCATCGTCCAATAAAATATGACAGTAATGATATTTCCTTTGAAGACGAATCTAGCCAAATGACTCAACTGACTATATTATTTGACGAATGGCCAACAACGGTAGGCACATTTGTATTCTTCCATGCAACATATGCATAATGAATCCTGTACATAAAAACTAAAAAGTAACAGGACATTAATTATTATGAATGCATTTATTATCGTTTTTTACATCTTATTCAGCATCCACACGGGAACATTCAATATTTGTTTTTAATTTATTTACCTCTTGTCGTTTTAGAGTTCTGTTAAAATGGATGTATTCTTTTACGATTACGATGATTTTGATCACACAACAGTTCTTGTAGATTGGTTTGAAACTCCTCTACAACGTAGTGTGGGGAAAGGAGAAAAACAAGTTGAAATTGTACGAGGAAATAGGCAAATGGATAAAACCAGGTAAATATTCTACTGCATATATACTATTGCCAGAAACATCGCAACACTAACGGAACACGCTTGATGCATTGGCGTGACGTCTTAACACTTTCTTTTTAAGAAATAAACTGTTACCCTATGGCGGTTATGGTCGTACATCCGGGCTAGAAAGTTGAATAAATGCGCAAGATTAATTTTCCAGCCAACCTTAATTTTGTTCTGATATACGACCATAACCGCCATAGGGTAACAGTTTATTGCTCATATTTACGTTTTCAAGACATTCTAATTTGATACAAAGACTTTAGTTTGAATTTAAGTAGGGCCTATTTCTTTACGTTTCAACGTTTGGGACTACCGACATAATTTTATTGTTTACATTGAGAGCGATACAATAACGTCAGTGAATAACGACGTCATTGGTTAAAATTACTACGCCTTATGCCTTAGTGATGCGGCAATGGCGTTTACGGTGATATAAACGCCACACGAATTTGTATTAGTCTAATGGAAAAAATAATAGCTAATGGAAATATTGAAATATAAACGACATCGGTTCGTCATAAACATTACGACGCGACATACTGTAATTGATAAAATGCAACACTAATACTTACAAAATAATGCCATACTAGTAAATTACTTACAACCGGTAGCATGCATGAATCAGAAAAAAAAATTACAGACACATTATCAAAGTCAACAATGTTACAGTTTGACCGAGGTACTTTGAATATTTATGCCTTAATTTCGACCAAATGATATACCTGTATCACATTTTTATATATTTTCAGGTTGGAATTCAAATGGTCTGTTCATTGTTTTGGAACAAATGACTGTCTGAAGCCACCTCCAGAATGGAACATCTGGCCATGGGCTGCTGAATCAAGAACTAATGGAGATTCTGGTGCTCATGGTAGTTCATACAATCTGACTAACGTTTCAAAATCTATGACAACGGTTAACCCCACTCAGAAGAAAACGACCGTTAAAATTTTCAACAAGAACATCAATAAACAATGGGTAGAAGCCGATGAAGAATTCACTGAAAACGAAATCAGATCACCTTTCAGTCCTTTTAATCCACACACTCATCATGGTGATATTCTAAACGTACATGAAAAGTTGTTCGATGCCCGTGAACATGCACGGACGATCGATGCAGAAGAAAGGTTTGATGTTGCCCCTGCACGCCAAGCAAACCACACCAGGTTCAAGAAGATAAACCCCATCGTTGACTATCACAAGCCTATCAATGCATACAAGAAAAATCACAAAGGTTTGAATGATAAAGTGATTGAACGTATGCCAGCCATTGATGACCCTTTTGCCACCGATGTTCCAGTAGTTCGAGATGAACTTCTGAAAGAGATCTATGAAAGGGTTGCTGTTGAGCTATCATTAAATGATGTGAAGAAAGATACAGAATTTTCACCAGCAGATCCGTCAACACGACTCCAAACTATCATAGCTGAGACTGAAACAAAAACTGGTGCCTTGCCAATGCCAAGAAATCCATACATAGATCGTAATGGTGAACATATCAAGCTGCCTAGCGTCGATCACAGCCAAAAGAAAGAAGCCGATGATAACTCTGAAGATCTTAGAAGGAATCCATCAGATCTGAAAACTTATTTGGTGAACACGGATAAAACATATAATCCAATTGAAAGAACATCCGTTTCTTCCAAGCTTGATGTGGAATCTATAACTGATCCTACAAAGGATGGCGAGTCTTTTAATACTAATACAGAACTGCCAAAAAAGATACAGGTGAAACGCAAACATCGGACAAAACCTCCCACAGTCAGAAAATGGGACAAAAATTACAACTGGAAGGAACACTACAAAGATTACGTCTTGCCAAAGCAACATTTATCTAAAGTTAAGACCCATACAATAGTATGGTCTCAAGGAAAATCAAAACGTCCAATAAAGGGAAAGAACAGCGAACCAGTGTCCAGAACTGGTGCTAAGAAATACCCACAAAGTAGCCTTAACCAACTGAAAGAAGCAAGAAAAAATTCATCAATAGAAATGGGATATTATAGACAACTTCACACCGATTTTATTACAAGACAAAATCAAAAGCGAAGAAATGAAAAAGCCAAGGTGAAATCTAGTAAGCGTAGAACAACACTCGGGTCTAAGATAAAAATGCCGGATGCTCATGATTTATCAACGGAGAAAACGAAGAAAATTCCTATTAATGTTGCCCCCATAAATCCCTTCGCAAAGAAACGGAAACCATACCAAGCAACACTAAAACTGGACAGTGGATTCACAGACTGGTCTAAAGATCTCCGAACAAAACTACCACCGGTGAATCCTTCAGCTAAAGGACCGATGGCTGTACCACCTCGTCACTACTTTTGGTCTAAAAATACCAACGTTACTCTACCTAATCAAGTAAAATATGACATTATCAAGTCTAAAAATACCAACGTTGCTGGACCAAATCAGTTCAATGACACGATCAAAACTACCCATGTTGGTACACCTGATTACGTTGAGTACATCAATTCTAAATCCATCAGTGTACCCGATGACGTTAAAACGGACATTATCGTACCTATTATTAGCAGTGTTGATAGACTCGACAACGCCAAAAATGCTATTATAAAGTCGAAAACCACTAACGTTTATGATAAGGATGACACCAAATCAAAGACCGCAAGTGTTGGTATATCAGATAACGCCAATGACATTATCAATGTTAAAAATGACAATATCAACTTCAAAATCAAATATAACTTAATCGAGCGTACATCCGATAACGTCAAGGATCACATTAAACCTAAATCTACCAGCGAGGCTTTACCTGGTCACGCCAAGAAGGACATTATCAAGCTTAAAAGTAAAAGTGTTACTGTTTCTGATCACCTCAAAAAGGACACTATCAAGACAAAAACTTCAGTTGTTGATGTTCCCGATCACGTAAAAAATAACATTATCAAATCTAAAACTACCAATGTGCGTGTGCCCGATCATATCAAAAGTACAGATCTCCATGAAAATATAATCATTAAATCCGAACCTACAAATCTTGTACCGGGTTTCTCCAGAGGTGATCGCAAATACCCCCAGACAAGTAAAGTTGGAACCACTACGCATAAACCTTTCAAAAATAAAGTCATTAATGCTGACTCTGTCGCTGATATCTTTGGAAGTGCTAATGGTAACTATAAGACCATTGACGGCTCTAGAACTGTACGCTATCCTATTAATGGTGACGTTATAAAAACCAAACCGACCGATGCATATAGACCCGAACTTGAAGAAAATGACTTGAATTCTATAACTAAAAAAAGTCCAGTGAGTATATCAAACCAGACCACAGCCAAAACTACGAACGGTGTCCCTCAAAATAAAAAAGTACAGTATTCTGAGAATATCCAACCGTTACAACCACCTATAAAATCACGCGACAAGATTGACAAGATGGCTAAGAAGAAAAAATCTTCAGATGCACCAAATTCGGTGTCTTCCGATAGCCATAAAGTGTCAAAGGTGTTCCATGAAAACAACAGATCATCATTCTCTGTTGGACCCTTTCTGCCGGAAATAGACATGGATGAAAGAACGAAAACAACGATACATTCATGGTATGTGAGCGATAATAGGCTACTGCCGGAGACAAAACAATCTTCAAAGAGACCACATAATCATGGAAATGCGGAAACGCGAAAGAAAACGACTCATCACAGAGAATCCGTAGGTACAAAGTTAAGAAAGAAATCTAAAGATATTATGCAAGTAAAACCAACAAAAGTCGTTGTGGATTCTACTAAATACATCCAAACAAGTTCAATCAAGGAGGCACTAGAAAAGTTAAATCCGAAGAAATCACCTTTTCGTCCTAAAATAAAACCAACGAATTCCCAACCAAAGCCTCACCAAACAACACAGGTCAAAACGATCAATAAAACGATAAAGAAGGCAGGAGAAGTGTTTATATCCGAATCAACAACCATATCTCAAAAGTCAACACCCAAAGCGACGGTTGACATAATTGGACAAGCCACAATTGCGTCTTTCACAAAAGCAAGTGGAAGAGATCATCTGGTTGTTAATATACCACTACCACCGCATATCAATGACAATGGTAATTCTGGTCCACAAATACAAGGCTCCCCAACAGCAATTCGACCTGAGTATAGCAAAAACCCCATTTTCAATGCCATTCTCACTCCAGTTCCAACGAAAACAACCGGAATTGTTCATATGGATTCTGATTTGAAATCCAAAATAGCTCCTTCAAATGGACTTGGTATAGTTCTAGGTGGAAGTTTGATTGTGACATCAGGGGCAAGAACACAATCCACAACGACGTCAATTACCAACAGATTTACCCCGAAAGACAAAGGAAGTCTCTTTGAAACGTTCAAAAGTCTGTCAGAAATTATCAAAAAGGCTTCAAGGAAAGGTATCCTGAAAACAAACGACACTAGTATCATAGCAACAAAAGTAGTAAACAATGTAAAGAAAAGTCCGTTCAGTCCTAACCCAGTCGAAAGAAAACCAATCGTTACCTACACTAGTTCGAAGGCCCCAACAACAATAGAATGGATTAGATATTTGCCAGAACAAAAGAAAACAGGTAAAACGACACAATCAAGATTTCCAACAACGCTCAACCCAATGGCCACTATTCGCCATACCCCAGTTGGACCAACATCTACATCACAATCTCCAGTAATAGTTTTTCCCATTTCAGACGTAAACAGAACCACGACCGTTAGTCAAATGAATATATTTGAATTTTTGCCGAACGCCATTAAAGAAATATATTTTGGAAAGGCCAAACAACCCCTCCTTGGAATACACAACAAAATTCATACAACTGCTTCAGTCTTCGAAACTGTGCGTTCCAAACCAACCACCGGTGGACCTTTTGCAAGCGATCCTAATACACCGGGAAACGCCATCACTCTGAATAATGATCTCGCCAATCAGAATAAACAACCATATAGTCCTCTTGTTCCAGATTCAAAACCAGAAAATAAAGGATCCAGTGATCTTGATATTCTTGACAGTCTTAACAATCCATATGATCATTTGAAAAATGATAAGAACCAAAAACGACAAGACACTTCCATTCCAGTTGTTCCAACACTTGACAGTAAGAAGGAAACTTTAAATTACGTCTACCACGAACCAAATACAAAATTAAAAGGAACCAATTTCTTATTCAACAACAGAAAATCTGGTCCAAAAAACCCACGAACTACTTCAAAAATACCAAGACCAATTAAACCAACCACACGACATCGGCGACCACAGTTTCCTACTCTTCCGTCTCATAGATATTTTGCATATACTAGATTGGGACCTGCAGATGCCTTTACCACCACGCCCGCTACAACTAAGCGTAAGCATAGGTTCAAACTACCTGCTCTTCCGACACATGGATATTTTGCCTTTACCAGAAAAGATGCGCCAACTACAACTAAACATCCCAACAATAATCCTTTGGGATCATTAATAGAACATGGGAAAGTAAAACTGGTGTCAAAGCCGGGTACAGAAAAGTCACCGTCAGGTTTTGAAAAGAAAATATCCAAACACACAACAAAGACTAGGTTTCCAAATAGTGCTGCATCCAAAACGTTCAATCCTTATCATAACTTTAGAAGCAACACGGCATCACCGAGATTCCCAACACAAATTGGTGTAAGAAAGTCTGGTAATTTTATTGATCATCAAACCGTAACAAAACATCCTTTGGCAGAGCAAAACGACGGGGATATGCTACCTGGTAAACCAGACTTTTCCCGGACCTCTCAGTCCATACTCACCGAACAGATGAGTAGGGGACCTCCCCCAAGGACAATAAAAACAGCAAACACAGTTGTACCACCTGGTGAACCAGAACTTTCTCAGACATCTCAGTCCATACTCACCGTACAGATGAAAAGGGGACAGTCCACAAGGACAACAAAAACAGCAAGCACAGATATGCCACCTGGTGAACAAGATCTTTCTCAGACCTCTCAGTCCATACTCACCGAAATGATGAATAGGGGACAGTCCACAAAGAGAAGACAAACAGCGAGGGCAGGGATGACAAATGGACTTAGAGAACACATATATACAACAAAATCAGTGAACAAGATTGGAAAGACTTATCTGGAGCCTGGTATAAAGCAGCAAAAGTCACCAAAAGCCACAAATAGCATACACGATACTAGAGACCAAACTGTTGCTACCGAAGCAACTGAAGGTATCAGAGGGGTCAAAAGCATTGAGCATAGTACAGCTTTTCCTGTAACAACCCAGCATCAATCACTCCTAACTAAAGAATCCATTAACCGAAGTTCCTACCAAACTACGGATAAAATGCATATCAGCACAAACGCATCCCACCCTCGATCTACATCTTCTGGTAATGCAGGTGAAGCATCCTTAGAAACAGATAAAAAGGTTACAATAACTTCCAATATCTTCAGATGGATATATGATCTATCCAAATCTTTACCAGAAATAAATAAACCCGTTTCAAAAACCAATAACACGGTAAATTTAGAAGCACCCAAAATCAAGGACAATGGTATATCTTCGAATGTCATAGACATTAAAGATACAAACATACTCAATCCCTTTTTTAACATGTTCTTCAACTTTACCAATACTATTACACCAAAGACAAATCTAACTATTAATCGAACGAAACACATCTCCGCTAGTGGTGATCCACCACCTGTGGAAGAACTATCAAAGGGATCACCAACTGGTCGTGGATTGCCATCTCAAACTAAAGAGATGTGGAACGAGGGTGTGGCTGTGCCGTCTCATACAGAAAATGAAGATAACAGGAGAAAAATAAAACAACAAAGCGTTCCTCCCAAAATTCCTAAATCAGAAAGTCTTGAAAAAGATCGAAGAAAAACTAATAAACCAAAACCTACCTTGAAATCTACAGTTACAGCACAGGAGACAACAACAAGACGCTTAAAGCCGAAGAAAGTACCAAAAACTACTTTGAAACCATCCAAATTATTACCGAAAACACATGCAACATCAGAATCCAAAGGAACAAGTTCAAAAACTTTCAACAACGTTACCTCAAAATCATCAAACACACCAAAGGGAAGGTTGGTAATGACATCTAAGCCAGCAGCTACGATTATAACAAAAGTAATGATAACCCATACAGATGAACAATCCACAAAAACAAGAAGCACCACACAAGCTCGAACTGCAACTACAAAAGAACCAACCACTCCGAAGAAGATACAGCTAACTATTCCACCATGGTTGAAGATCACGACTCAGCTATGGACTAAAGTAACAGATAAAATAACAACAGTCATTTCCACACAACCGACAACAACAAAAGAGAAAACAACCATACAACCTGAGAAACCCACGTCCAAGAAACCAAAACATACCAAAGACAAGAACCCGACAAAGAAACCAACCATGAAAATGCCACAGAAGCCGACAACCAAGAAACCAACTACGAAAAAGCCAAAGAAGACGACAACCAAGAAACCCACCACGAAAAAGCCAAAGAAGCCGACAACCAAGAAACCCACAACGAAAAAGCCAAAGAAGCTGACAACCAAGAAACCAACCACTAACAAGCCAAAGAAACCGACAACCAAGAAACCAAAGACAAAAGCAACGAAGAAAGTAAAGTTCACAACAACCATATCACCAAAGAAAACGACAAATTCCACAACAGCAAAGACGAGACAATCAACGACTAAACGTCTTCCTAGAACGCACAAACCAGTCAATATAACCATCAACATGGATCCAAATTCCAATGATGGTCCTCGCATAATTGTACCGAATGGAGGTCTCTTTATTCCACAACCCCGGGACTACAACTCGAGTAGTTACGGATATCCGGGGGGTTCAGCACGGCTACAAGTCCGCAAGATGAACTTTAAGACAGTGTTTAATAGATACTGGCCTGCCATACTTGGTTTAACTGTAGGAACTGTGTTTTTGGTAGCTGCTGTTTTGACGTCTGTTGCCTGTCGTCAACAAAGGTAAGAAGCATATGATATTTTGTCTGTTTCTAAGAATACTTGAAGCCCGTAGTTCTGCCCTTTAACCCCAAGCTATAATTCTTGCTAAAATTATGTCATCGGAAAAGAATGATGGTTTTATTATTATAAAATAACATTTCTTACTTTGAGGTGGGTTCACTCGAGATGATATTTCACATAGAATTTGTCCTTTTTGCAGGTTATACATTAGACGTTCGGGGTGGACGGATATGCCACATCATGTATCTGAACCACCAGATACCAGTGAATACTCTTCTGCTGCATCTCTTGTCAGTGACGCAACACGATCCTCTATTAGTTTCCCTTGATAGATTCAGGACTGTAAATTTAACAAATCTTCAGTGTACGTTTTATTATAACATAATGTTACTAGTTGATCTGGGTGAGTGAAGTAAGACATAATGCGGTAACATCTTTTATCGTGGGTGACTTCACATGTACCGGGAACATAGTATGTGAGTAGTTTTATAGATGTGATCGAAAGTTCTTGGACCACCAGACCTTTGAAACTAAAATATTAAGTACATTAGAGTCTACAAGTAGTAAGACGATGAAATGAGGTGGTATTGGTGGCGTTCCTTAGTTTTTGAGGGTCAAACAACTATGGATTTCAACAAAGGTTTCTGGAATCAATCTGGCTTAATCTTTGTATTCAGTTGCTATGAAATGATCTATAAAGGTAACCTGTACATTTTACTTTAATTTATTGATTCAATGATTATCCGATGAATAAAATCTAGCTCATCTTACGCCTTTTTCAAATCTAGAACTTAACTATTGACTTTTTCAACGTAAGTATAATATAAATACTCTGCCTGGTATCTTTCATATCGATGATACTTATATTTCTGAAGGTATTTTCGAACAATAGGTGCCTTATGAATGTATTTTTATCAATTCTTACAGTGTAGCTACTTCATCAATAGCATTAATCTCGACAACTTAATGTGAAATATCTGATACTAAATTACATGTATATTATGACAGCACATTGTGAACGATTCTGTTGATATTACCAAAGATAAAAGGGCCCTTTTTGAAATGGTGAAGTTTTGTTCTCTTACTTCATCGAGCGGACCTAATTTTAACTGTATGCTTTTCAGAACGATATCGTAAATTTAGGTCTATCTTCTGGCAAGTATTTAAGCGACTGTATTATCTTGCGATCTGAACACCAAAAATAATAAAGTTAATGTTGATTGTATAAAATTTTCTTGCATTTGCAGACCATTATGTCTTAATTTGAACCTTTTCTAGTCAAATATTAATCGAGACCGCCTATCCTGAACCTCGTGGCGGCGTCAGTGAGGGTACGGAGAAGGGTTTGCACCCCCTATTTTACCCCCACTTTATTTTTGATAAATTAGAAAGTATGTTTTTAATACGTTTTGCCCCAAATTATGTATCTGAATGCACCAAATCAATTCAATTTTCGAAAATTTTCTTGTGAGGAAATGAGAGGCTTGTGATTATGTCGATTCCACAGAGTTGCAGCATTTTGAATTTCAGTTGCCCCCCGTTGAGTCAGTCCGCCCCCTATTTGTACCCCCAGTCTCGGGAGGCTATATCCACCATTGATTACTTATATACATATCTCAATGAATTGCAGATTGAAGTACAGGTTTTTTCTAGCATTTCGAAACATGTTCCTGTTGTTAGACATTTATTGCGAAACTACAGTAGAGCTTCACCTGCCGCTTCCTGTTATATGCGATGCCGTGTATAAAACATTTTTCTACTCGGAAATTGCTATATTTTTAAAAACAATTTGAACAATCCCACTTTAATAAAAGGAAATAGTATTGTATTTTTATATGTTTATTGTATATTAATGATGTAATATAGATAAGTGTATTATTATATCATAGGGTAGGGTAGATTTCCAAACCAACAAAGAGGTAGTCGCCACAAAATGGAAGTTTACACAATATGTAATTTTATCCTGGGTGTATGTTTAATCAAACCAAGCACGAAAAAAAGCCAAAAAAAAAAAAAACAAACAAAAATACACAAACCGGAAGAGACTTTCAAAAGTGTTATTTATTTGTATTTTGTGGTTGAATATACAACTTAATGACGGGATACAGATATGTAATATTTATTTTCAAGCTTATGTAGTTTTAACGTCTTTCAATAACAGTCCTGCAAAATCTTCTTTTTTTTTCCTTTTCGTATCTTAAAGTTTCGAGCCCATGAAATTCCGAATATACGATATTCATATCTTTGATGCAATTTGTTGGTTTGTTTATTTCTCTCCCACATAATTTTTGTACAGTCTGCTTGGCTTTTGGTTTATGCTAAGTGTTAGCTAATTTTCGTGTGTAGATACCCAAATGCATCAGACTTACCTTTTCTGGTTTCCGTTGTCATTTCAACCAACTTCAATGGTCCTCTCACATAGATACAAATGTGTATGAGCTCTGTGGCATCCCGATGTAAGTAAGTTTGGGACATATCTGGAACACGTATATATTTTGAACTTATGAAATTGCGGCTCTAGATAATACGTTTTTTCTTTGGTGAGTTTCTCGACTTAAGATCGAAGGTGTGTGAGATAACCTTCTGAAAACAATGAAACAAAATGTCTCAAATATTTACTTGGTATTTTTGTAGTTTTTCAAACATTTTCTGTATATATTATATAATGTTGCATGTATTCCACTTAGCACAAAAGCACCATTTCGTTTCCCTATTTCTTTTCACTAACTTTTTTTAAACATTGAAATGTATGTATCTATTTATGTAGTTACCTTATAAAATTAAGTTCAAATAGATTCTTTAAATGAAAACCTTATCTTTGTAAATGTCAATCAATAAATCATTGCAAAGAAATAGTTATAAAATCTGAACTTAAAGCTTTCATATCCTAAAAATACATATGTCCCTTTCTTTTGGCCCGTCGTGACTTTTGCTCAAAAGGATTAATTGGCTCATCGTCCAGTTAATCTTATGGTATTCGGCAAAATATTTATCAAGATTATGAATTTTATTCTTATAATTACATGATAGCTTTAAATACATGTAAATCATTGATAATGACGACAATAGAGAACTATGGAACATGTTTTTGTCTTGCTTGTTTGTTTATTGCTATGTATAAAACTCTATTGTAGCTGTGTTAATTGGTCTCTCTGATTGTATTTGTAACTGATTTCAATAAATTTTTCAATCAAACTGATGTTTTTTGATAAAACAGCAATAAGTGATTATTATTATTATTATTATTATACCAGTCCAGTAGGCAATAACTTGCTGAATTTGATATACATCTAGCTTCTAATAGATATTTAAATCATTATCGGCTACTGCGGCAGAAATATTGTGCACATATTCTACGAGGTTTTTCCGACTGTCTTTAAGTTCTATGGTTCTACCCTGTTACTATCGATTAACCAGAGTTAATTAATTTGTTTTCACAATTTCATCATTTTCAAGCGCTACAACCGACTGAGTTTGTAGTTTTATTGACAGCTTTTACATTACAATATAATACTTTAACATGGTATCGTTTATTTAATTACCTTCAGATAATTAACCCTGGATGATTTCAATAATAGATATAGTCCACGGTTCAATAACTATACGATTGGTGAGAAATAATACCAGCTTAACTGGTTTTATCACATACACTTAAATCACGAACGGACAGTATTAAATGGATTTAGTTGTCATAGTATTTTCTTGATATCAGGACCGTAAATAGGATTGTTTATCACATCTAACCATTGCTATCACAACACGATATTCTAGTCGTTAATCTAGATTGGTAGAGACAAATTATAGCGAGAAAAAGCCTTAATACTTAAACGCAAGATTCCCAATAGCATGTTTAGTATCTGATAGTCTAGTCTCAGGGCTGAGTTAATGTCCAAATGGTCGATCAAACGTGATAGTTAGCAGAGCACGGGTGAAAATTAATGCTTCTGCAGCTGTTTCACCGCTTCCAAATATAGACACTTTGGTCGAAATGAAGTATATTCACAAAGCAAGAACGACTAAACAACAAAAGAGTTAAGCCCCCTGCCATTTTACTATGTTTCAAACATCACCTGAAAACAGTAAGATTTAAATTGATTTAAGATCTATCTATTGAGAAAGCAAATATTTATTTTTGTATTTGTACAGATTTTATAACCATTGTTTAGCTATACAGACATCAAATTAACTCTAACTGGGGGTGTGTTTAGTTCTAGAAGATCATCAGGAACCTCATGTAACGTTCTGTAGTTGGTCTGAAATCCAACCGGAACCATGGCGCAGTAAAGATATTCCTCATATTGTAAAGTTCCAAAACAATTAAATTTAGATGAATATTCGAGTCAATATTATGGAATCTCTTTTTCACAACACGAAGCAAACAAAACGCAAAAAAAGATGTGAAAACATCATTTCATAATATCGATGGTTGTTTTTTGGGTTGGTTGGTTGGTATTTCACCAAAGTACTTTGTTAACAATCCTTTGTCTTTTGTCTCGGTAATGATAATTGACTGTGAATAATTGTTGAGCTCAACTGTATCATTTTACATTATTTATGTATATCCGTTGAACATTTTGTTTTACCTGGCAGATAATTATGAGATCTCTACTGGGTACATATTGGTCTTGTCGCACTCTCCATTTGTGGTTGGTTAAAAGGATCAGCTTCCAGAACAATATGACTTTCGGGTTTACATCCTGCACATCCTTTGCCACATACTCCAGTTATTTCTCTGTTTTCAGTAACGTAGATATCCATGACAGCATCGTGATTATCTTGGACCCAGATGACATCGGTTTGAATCAGAAATCCAGTACCTTCAAGGTTGATCTCAAACCTTCCCAAAAGGCTACATGTTGTGTCTACAGGAAGGCAGTCAGCAGATATCCCGTAGCCAATTTGGGTATAGTTTGTCCATGTAAAGGTAAAGTCTTCGCGTAGAACTCGAGCAGTCCGTGGTGCGAATGCTATCTTTTGGAAATTGGTATATCCTAGCTGTTCCTGAGCGATCTTGGTCGTACTAGCTTGAACTGGAGAACAGTTAGAATCATGAAGGTATATACTACGTGAAGAAAAGTTGTTCTCTACCAGAGTGATGTAAGCAGTTGGATCAGTATCTAGTTTACCACAATACAATTTCACCATAGCCCCATTTAATGCTGGTGGATACAGCCAGTACTCACCATCACTATATAATGTATTGCAAGAGTCCTTCAAATATCGACAATTAGGTATTTCTTGATATGGATGACAGGTGAAGACGGACCAGCTGCCATTGGAGAGACATGAAACGGCATCAGTGCTATAGTAGCCAAATTTACAAGGCTTTTCAACAGCTTCTCCGAAATTGTGTATCTTTGAATTGAATGTTTGTGGGTCTGCGTTCGGGATTCCAGAACCATAGCATCCAATGATGTTACACCTGTAACCAATCTCAAGAGATTCACATAAGCTCTCTTGTGAACACATATGATTTTCACAATTTCCAAGGTGCACATGTGGCCAAATTTGAGCATTGACAGTCAAATAACTAGGAGCATTTTGCAGAGTTTCAGAATTGACATCGGTAGAGATTAATTCACATGTGCCATTTGAGTTGACAAAGTTGATGGAAAGACACATGGAGTTTGACCGACACATGTGAATGCATTGTAACAAACCAAGAGGAGCCTGTGTCCAAAATGATTTCGACGATGACCGTTTCCCTTCATAGATCTGTTGATCAAAATTTTGTACATTTCCACACATTTGACCAGTAGACCGGGCATAGATATTCAAAAATACATACAGAAAGCATAGCTTATATGTAAACATTGTCATTCTGTATTCTTTAAACGTTTCACAGTTTCAATGTATACAAGAACATTCATATAACACATTCAAAATCTCTATAGTGGTAGTGTAGTTTATCTAAGAATGGTTATTATTGAAAGCGTTGAACATTGATGGGGGCATGACTACATATATGCAAAATGTTAGGGTTTATAAAATCCATATTGTAGATAACGTAACAGAGTGCAATGATCTAGGGTACAAATTCTATAGAACGTTTGAAGTTCTAGAGATGGTTCAGAAAGCAAATTGTTTACATCGCCATTGCTAGCAAGGGGTTCAGAATCAAAATCGTTTACAATTTCACTACTAGCGAAGGTTCAGAATCAAAATTGTTTACAACGTCCACTTCAATCGATGATTCAGAATCCAAATGGTTTACAACGTTTACAGCTTTTTGACAACGTCGAGAATCAAAATCGTTTACAATTTCACTACTAGCGAAGGTTCAGAATCAAAAACGTTTACAATCGCTCACAGATAAAAAAATATATAAACTGTTCACAGCGAACTAAGATTCCCAATTCACACTGTTCACATCTAAAGTGTTTACAAGGTTTACAGGTTCAGAAACAAATTCAATATATCTGACAGAGTGAGATGTTCTTATTGTTATATTCACGACTGTAGATCTGTAGTCTTATAGAAACAATATAGTCGGAGTGAAGTTTAGTCATAAAAACCTTTAAAGAAGAATATCGATCTCATTGATTAAATTCGTGAGTTTTGATGCAGATGGATAATATTATCTTAAATTAATAATGATAATAATATCAAATGTATAATTTCTTCAGAACCAAATCATTCACTATGACTTTTTTTTTATCAATATTGCTTGGTTCATTTTGTTTTGATTTAAACAGTATTTTTTAATAATTTGTAAATCATGCATAATGAATTAAGATAAACAATGGTTTCAGAAATTTATTTTCGATGATCATTGCATGTGAACAAACCGTGATGGACGTTACATTAGGAAAGTTTTAGTTGTGACACATTTTTAAATTGTCAGATATTAGGTCTCGCACATCCCTCTTCGTCCACTCGTTATTTGTCAGTGTCACTGCACGTATTGTAGCCACCATACAAAATCTCGGTACCTGAACACGGAGAACTAGGATATTAGTCCCATTCCCAAGTGATCGTGGCCAGAAAGATAAAGGTTAAACTGTATGGTTCAGGTTCGACTGAAATTGTGAAAGGGAGAATGAACAAAAGTTTGATTCGTTTTCTTATTGAACTTCCATTTCAGTGTTATGCGAATCGTCCTCCTTCGAAATGAAGAAATTTATGTTACCTCTATAATCACCTAGTTACATACATGCAATAAGCTATTATCCTCATCGGCTCTGAAACTCGTCCAAAACTATAACATATTTCTACCGTATCACCCTTGAACAGATAAACCTCGTAATTTGGTACGTAATCCCTGAGTAATCTACATCATATGATCGATGAGTATTAGGCCTGATCCTAATTCATACGGACGCTGAGAAATCCTCCTTATACGGAATTTGAGTTATCCACATCATACGGACAATGCGTACTCCTCATCAAACGGAGAAGAGTAATCTTCATCATACAGACGATGCGTAATCCTCCTCAAAAGGAAGAAGAGTAATCCTCCTCAAAAGGAAGAAGAGTAATTCTCATCAAACGGACGAAGAGTAATCCTCATCATACGAACGATGCGTAATCCACATCAAATGCACGAAGAGAAATCCTCATCATACGGACGATGCGTAATCCTCATCATACGGACGATTCGTAATCCTAATCATACGGACGAAGAGTAATCCTCATCAAACGGACGAAGAGTAATCCTCATCATATGGACGATGCATAATCCTCATCATACGGACAATGCGTACTCCTCATCAAACGGGCGAGGAGTAATCCTCAAAATACGGACGATGCGTAATCCTCATCATATGGACGATTCGTAATCCTAATCATACGGACGAAGAGTAATCCTCATCAAACGGACGAAGCGTAATCCTCATCAAACGGGCGAAGAGTAATCCTCAAAATACGGACGATGCGTAATCCTCATCAAATGCACGAAGAGTAATCATCATCATACAGACGATGCGTAATCCTCATCATACGGACAATATGTAATCCACATCAAACGCGCGAAGAGTAATCCTCATCATACAAACGATGCGTAATCCTCATCATACGGACGATTCGTAATTCTAATCATGCGGACGAAGAGTAATCCTCATCAAACGGACGAAGAGTAATCCTCATCATATGGACGATGCGTAATCCTCATCATACGGACAATGCGTACACCTCATCAAACGGGCGAAGAGTAATCCTCAAAATACGGACGATGCGTAATCCTCATCAAATGCACGAAGAGTAATCCTCATCATACGGACGATGCGTAATCCTCATCAAATGCACGAAGAGTAATCCTCATCATACGGACGATGCGTAATCCTCATTATACGGACAATGCCTAATCCTCATCATACGGACGATGCCTAATCCTCATCATACGGCATTTTAAATCTTTCGTTAGCTAAAGTTAAAAAAAATTAACATTTCCCGTGTTCCAAACAGAGTCTGAGTAACAGTAACAGTCTTTACCGTAGACCTAGATCTATATCAATCGGAACAGAGCATAGTAGTAACGGAACGTAATTAAGACTTAAGTATAGAGTCAAATAGAACAATCGAATGCAGCCAAGGGGGGGTTATTCATTTACCAAATGGAAAAGGACAGGTAGGTACAGGTATTTATTTTGCCAAATTTGGTTTTACACCCACATCTGTTAATAAATATGAACGAACGTCGGCCTCTATATCTGCCCGTCCGTCCGTCCGTCTAGTGACATTTACTCGTAAACGCTCCAGAATATGTGTTTGTTAACTAATTGATATAAAAGCTGGTAAGTGTAGACATTACAAAACAACTGTATGAGCAAGTTCGTTGGTATGTGAAATTTCTCCCATTTATGAAAGTGAATTTGAATACTTATAGTCAGTAGTGTTTCTATGATTCTAAGGGTGTAGATAGGGGAGAGGGGGGGGGGGGGGGGGGGGTTTGTCCGAATTGTCAAGGGACGCTTTTATCCTCTTTGGGCACTAGAATATAAGACAAAAGTATCTTGTATAATTCTCATTAGTAGAGTAGTAAATTCACCATTCCTCATAGAACAGAATCTGTCTCGGTCATGAATTGAAGATTTCGATCTGTTCAATTTTCGCATTCGGCATTCCTTGGCAGTTTCCGTTAAACTGAATCTGCAGAGTGTTAGCGGACTTTTCACGGTAGACCGTTTGGCTTGAGTCATTTTAATTGCCAGTGGCAATTGACAGTCGGACCGAGCTTCCGTTTAGAGTAATATTATCGGATGACTTTCTTATGGAGAGGCTAATACCTTCGTAATTGGTCAGGGTTTATAATATTCTTCTTCTGAGCTTAAATCGATATTGCCTCAAGTTGTTAGAATATATTTTGATAATGGCACTTCCTGAATGCATTCTTTGTTAAGCAGTTATATTATGATATTTAACCATTAAATTAACTTACGGTTTCTTTTTGATTGTAGCTTCGTAAAACAGTGAAATCTGAACAATTATCACTCAATCAATAATACGTCAAATCAGACAAACAAGGAAAATAATCTATTTATCTTTTGTAATCTTTTATCATTATAATTCTCTTGTATTTATTTGCTGTACATTGACTGAATGTATATTTTTGGCGAGGATATATGAGTGTGGCGCAAAGCAGGATATGCTTACTCTTCTAGACACCTCATACCACTTTTCATTATGAAATACTTACTCACCTGAGCCACAGTGGCATTTGTAAGATGGAAAATGGCTCACTGATATAGCAGTCCAATCTGCGAGCTGGAAATTGATTTTCGCAATAATCATCAAGAGAAATATACAGTTTTAAAAGATATTATTACTAATCTTGACATATATTCTTCATGTTTTTCACAATCAATTACTGTTTTATTCACGAACTTGAGGAAGTACATTAAAAAGTTAAAAAAAAACAATGAAATAGTACACCTTAACCGTGTTATATCTTGGCAATCGAAGAAAACATGACTATGTTTTTGACACAGCATTTTCTTGGCGGTTTTACTGGTAGTGGTACTAATGGACAAGAACGTTACGTAGACAAGCAAATTGTCTATAGGATCGTAATCGCGATTCGGTCATAGTCGATACATACAATTTGTTCGTGAATGGTTTTAAAATGCATGATGATATATTGATATTTGAGAAAACAAACCACAAAATCAGTCGACATTGCATTCGAGGTTAATGGTGTTTAGCCCACATGGCGCAGAAAGTAGGACGTAAAACTCCATTCAATTCAATTCAATACTGCTATTCTGTCACAATCTGCGAGCTACTTTGAGAGAATGTTTTATATGCTACTTGCTTTGCATTTGACAACTCTACCTTAGTAATGAATCGAATGTTGCTAAGTGGATTCTTGGGCAGAACTCTTTACTTCCGACATTTTACCATTTGTCAAGATAGTAACTTTGCGATCTGAATACATACTGATGCATACAATGTTGTATGAGTTTGAATCCATATTTTAAGTCATATCGCGCTATGTTTACAGACGTCTGTAGTCTTAGGCGACCAGCCTTTGATGTGTTAACTACCAGATCACGTTATCAAGTGACAATATGGCAATAGTTGCGACAAGCAATGGCTGCCATTAAATATCGTGATATGTTGTAGTTGTAGTATAGCTCGACAAATCTAGCTCTACCCGTTCCCCAGACTTTCAGGGTAGCACGACTGTTGACTTGGTAGTTACAACTTGTGTTACCCATTCAACGTATGATAAAGACATCATTATCAAATACCATTCCAGCCATTATTATATCACAGGTAATATTATAATGTGATCAGATTATTCCTGAAATTAAAGACACCACAGAAATCCGGATGATGCCATTATATCCATCGACAAGAAAAACTCTTTTCAAGTCTCAACCTCTTGAACAAACAGAGGATGTTGTTTTAAAGGGTACTTCATTTCAAGTATCGATTTTTGTTTACTGCGATCAGTTGATTGATTGATTTTTATTGATTTGTCATCTTTTATCTTCAGTGATCAATCTTGATACATGTTTAGTAACAAGTAGCATATTGATTTGAGATATATTGGGGAAATACTGTGGTATACATAGCCTACATATTGTCAGGGGTGACGTCAATATAGACGTACGATAAGTAGGAGAGGGGGTGGGCGGCATATTAGACAGCTATTGTAGTCAGATTATCTTTTTAAAGAATTGTTTATAGTCAGAGTAAGTTACCTATAATTTCTTCCTAGTCCGCGTAAGTTACCTTTGATTTATTTGTAGTCAGAGTGAGTAACCTATAATTTATTCCTAGTCAGAGTAAGTTACATGTGACTTATTTGTAGTCAGAGTAAGTTACCTTTGGTTTATTCCTAGTCAGAGTAAGTTACATGTGACTTATTTGTAGTCAGAGTAAGTTACCTTTGATTTATTGGTAGTCAGAGTAAGTTACCTATGATTTATTGGTAGTCAGAGTAAGTTACATGTGACTTATTTGTAGTCAGAGTAAGTTACCTTTGATATATTTGTAGTCAGAGTAAGTTACCTATGATTTATTGGTAGTCAGAGTAAGTTACCTATGATTTATTTGTAGTCAGAGTAAGTTACCTATGATTTATTTGTAGTCAGAGTAAGTTACCTATGATTTATTTGTAGTCAGAGTAAGAAACCTATGATTTATTGGTAGTCAGAGTAAGAAACCTATGATTTATTGGTAGTCAGAGTAAGTTACCTATGATTTATTTGTGGTCAGAGTAAGTTACCTATGATTTATTTGTAGTCAGAGTAAGTTACCTATGATTTATTTGTAGTCAGAGTAAGAAACCTATGATTTATTGGTAGTCAGAGTAAGTTACCTTTGATTTATTTGTAGTCAGAGTAAGTTACCTATGATTTATTGGTAGTCAGAGTAAGTTACCTATGATTTATTTGTAGTCAGAGTAAGTTACCTATGATTTATTTGTAGTCAGAGTAAGTTACCTATGATTTATTTGTAGTCAGAGTAAGAAACCTATGATTTATTGGTAGTCAGAGTAAGTTACCTATGATTTATTTGTGGTCAGAGTAAGAAACCTATGATTTATTGGTAGTCAGAGTAAGTTACCTATGATTTATTTGTAGTCAGAGTAAGAAACCTATGATTTATTTGTAGTCAGAGTAAGAAACCTATGATTTATTTGTAGTCAGAGTAAGTTACCTATGATTTATTTGTGGTCAGAGTAAGAAACCTATGATTTATTTGTGGTCAGAGTAAGAAACCTATGATTTATTTGTGGTCAGAGTAAGAAACCTATGATTTATTGGTAGTCAGAGTAAGTTACCTATGATTTATTCGTAGTCAGAGTAAGTTACCTATGATTTATTTGTAGTCAGAGAAAGTTACATAACTGTGATTTATTTGTGGTCAGAGTAAGAAACCTATGATTTATTTGTAGTCAGAGTAAGTTACCTATGATTTATTTGTAGTCAGAGTAAGTTACCTTTGATTTATTTGTAGTCAGAGTAAGTTACCTATGATTTATTTGTAGTCAGAGTAAGTTACCTATGATTTATTTGTAGTCAGAGTAAGTTACCTATGATTTATTGGTAGTCAGAGTAAGAAACCTATGATTTATTGGTAGTCAGAGTAAGTTACCTATGATTTATTTGTAGTCAGAGTAAGTTACCTATGATTTATTGGTAGTCAGAGTAAGAAACCTATGATTTATTGGTAGTCAGAGTAAGTTACCTATGATTTATTTGTAGTCAGAGTAAGAAACCTATGATTTATTGGTAGTCAGAGTAAGAAACCTATGATTTATTTGTAGTCAGAGTAAGTTACCTATGATTTATTCGTAGTCAGAGTAAGTTACCTATGATTTATTTGTAGTCAGAGTAAGTTACATAACTGTGATTTATTTGTGGTCAGAGTAAGAAACCTATGGTTTATTTGTAGTCAGAGTAAGTTACCTATGATTTATTTGTAGTCAGAGTAAGTTGCCTATGATTTATTCGTAGTCAGAGTAAGTTACCTATGATTTATTTGTAGTCAGAGTAAGTTACATAACTGTGATTTATTTGTAGTCAGAGTGAGTAACCTATGATTTATTTGTAGTCAGAGTAAGTTACATAACTGTGATTTATTTGTAGTCAGAGTGAGTAACCTATGATTTATTGGTAGTCAGAGTAAGATGAAAATATCACGACAAACTGAGAACATGTGTGCTACAGATTGTGCGATGTACAAATCCTGACAGCTGAACCGACAGCTGACAAAAATCGAAAATTTCCTTGATGGCACACAGTATTGTCCTCGGCAGTCAAGATCACTCAGTCATACCAGGAGCAGAAAAGGCACAAAGGTCATTAAATTTCCAAAGACACAATTGTTGTTTAAGTTTTTTAAACTAGTATTATCTCCCTTGAAGTATAACTCATTCTCATTCGTACACTAGCAGGGTTTGTTGTATTCAAGTTTTCCATTCATTGTCAAAGTAAATCTCCATTGACGTACTATTGGGTAAATAAAGAATCCGGCAGCCGCAGTGTCTCAGACATTTACTAGGGTTCAGTCAATCCCGTCATAGGTCGAGATGATACCTTCGGATTTTTCAACCCGGTTTCCCCCTGTTAGTGATGCAGGTAAGAAAAAGCGTCTAGTTATTCGGATGGGACATTAAACCAAGGCCCCATGTGCTTCAGGCTGTGTACGTTAAAGATCTCTCGACAGTTGGAAATCGACGCCAGGTTTATAAGCCTACCACAGTCGGCTTAAAAATGAACACCATGAAAATAAATAAATGGTTTTTTTTATTGCACTTTCATAAAATAAATAGTATCTATAAATATCAACAATAAACTATTTTCTTAAATAAATATTTTCAGAATAGTGGAGAAATAAGTATTTACTCCTGTATTAACTAGTCAAATAAACAACTAATGAGTATCGCTGTTCTATGCTGAAAAATGCTATCAGCTAGAGAAAATCTAAATGCAATTCCATAAAATAACAAATTATCACATATACAACATATATTAATAACAGGGCGATATAACACTGTCTTAAACTACTTGATAAATAGATCGTTATAACCTAGTTGATAGGTTCGTTCTAACCTAGTTTATTTTTGCCTAATTTATAAGCTCGTTCTAACCTGGCGGATAGGTTCATTTTTACCTAGTTTATAGTTCGTTCTAACCTATCTGATATGTTTATTCTTACCTAGTTGATAAGCTTGATAAGATTGTAGGTTCGTTCTAAGCTAGATTGTAGGTTCGTTCTAACTTAGTTCGTAGGTTCTTTCTAACTAGTTTGTAGGTTTGTTCTACCTTAGTTTGTTGGTTCGTTCTAACATAGTTTGTAGGTTCGCCGAGGGATTCGTTCTAAGTTCATACAACCAGGTTGTAGGTTCTTTACTTTCACATAGGGTAAATAAAATGAAAGTCAACAATGACGCGACGTGAAAAATGAAAGGAACAATACAAATGAAAACTGTCTACAGAGTTATGTTATATGTACATGCAATTTGATCGAAGAAAACATTTGATAATAATTATATAATGAAAACTGCCATAGCTTTATCTTCCACTCAAATGCTTAGAAATCCAAAAAATGTTGCCGATTATCGGTATAGTTGGCAAATTGTCGGATTACTTGGCATTGATGTTTAATGATTATTTGCCCGTTGGTGTTTGTAAATTCTCGTTTAATGGTCTGAATTCATGGCGTAATGATGAAAATTATCAATTCACCACTGGCAGGCTACTGACTAACGATCATGTCACTCAGTCGACATGGGGAGACCTACACATCCAAGCCGCTTGATAAACAACATCAAATGACGATCGTGAGTGTCGATGACGTAGTAGACAGTCTGTGGTTTCTGATAGAAAACCTCAGATTTGCTCAGAAAAATAAAAATTCACTATCATGTTCCACCTGTTCTTCTAGCGACATGGTATCATTGTAGAAGGTTCTATCAATTGGAAGCCCGTAGCGTGTGACATTTGCACCAGCTAGTGGTCGTCGTTTATCTTTTGGATCGATGCGGATTGCGTCCCTGGAAGCCATGGACGGATCTTCACTATAATAGTTGAATGGTGTTATGAGGAAGGTGAGATGACCACCAACTGTCGGAGTATTTGGCATATGTTCTGTTTGTGGTATATGATATGTTCCTAGCGTGATCCAACTTACTAGATCCTGAAACGATAAAAAATATAGGCACATAAGGTTAACATGTTAGGCAGTTTACATAACTGATATAAGATTATATAATACTGAACGCATTACTGCTTTAGATCGTACGACAATCAACTAAACATAACTATAAAAAGACATAATTATTTTAATGTCAAGTAAAGTTTGAAATATTTACAAGTAAATAATCCTCGTAAAGTGTGCCCCAGGCCGTAACGCAGGATTAATCGATGTCATTCATGTGATAAATGAAAGTATGGAAGATTTTGGCGGGGGAGTAGGACTAAGTAACAGTATTACAATATACAGCTGACATGACTATAAATGACGTGTATCTAAGACAATAATACTAATTATCCTACTTTATTATGGAATATTAGAATGACTAGGTTCTTGACAGTTTAATTAGCACAGGGTTATGATTGATTTCTGACGTGATTTGCTTTTAAAGGAGCGCATTTTATTCCAGACGATACTTTATTCACTTACTGTCAAATGTCGTGAGTTGGCGGCGTAGAGCTGGGAATAGACGTGGCACATAGAAGCAAATTGTGTCCGCATCGTCCCCGTGTCCGGATTCGTACCTCAAGGCGGAAGGATAATTCTAAAAATAGTTGTTTTGTGAACTCTAGCGGATGAGTATAACCGGTAGTAGTCTACTTTCAATTTGACTAGCTCAAAATTTTCATAGTCATCATATATTGAATTTTTTAGGAGACATTAAGGACTTGTCAGGCTCTCATTCGACATATTGGAAAGCTTTCAACGAGATTTCTGGAAAAAAGTTGTAGAAGGTTGAATTTCGTGTTTTAACATGGGAAGATATGGCAAATGAAGTAGTGGAGTTAGTCCATATCCTATGTCATTTAACATTGTTAATTCCTTTTATTCTTGCAAAGAATACATACATCACAGAAACGATTTCACTCTTAGAATAGAGTATCCTTTTAGGGTAGTATCAGCATCCGATAAGAGTTGTGTCCACTTTTTGAACCATACCACTTTGTCATAGGGGTGGTTAGAATGCGCATGATTATCATAACTGTACAGTATAAACTGCTCTGACAAAATGGCAAAAACTGGTAGGAAATTTCGTCATATCATTTTTATGAAGTGTGAAAACGTAGATGTTTCGTTTTCATATGTTTACTAAATTGGGTTTTAAATGATGTTTCTACACACTTTTAAATGTCAAAACAACCACTTTCTCTTAATTCTATGAAGAGTTCTATATTATGTATCGATAATGTACCTTTAATTTGAGTTATTTGAATGAATGTATTTTGAGGTATGGTGGTTGTAACACGACGTGTAGGTGTTTTGATATAAAAGTAAAAGCTGTCACCCAATCGATGTCCTCAATATTTTTAGCTTCAAATCGACCCAAACTTACGTTTGTAACATGTGAATGAAATTAATTCAGTGCTAAAGGATTCGACATCATATACTAATGAGAATGTAATAGCCGTTCAATTAAAATATTCCACATGACCCAGTTCAATGTGACTGGCGTATAGCGATATAAATGATACATTAAAGATACATTAGAGATAAATAGATGATACATGAGTCACGAATGAAATACAGAAGATACAAGATACAAAATAAATACATAAAAGTTATACAAAAGATACAAAATAGTGATACATGAAAGACACATAAAAGATACCTGAGAGATACGTAAGAGATACAATAGAAAAATAAGAAGTAGACACATGTAAGATATATTAGAGACTGAAGAGAAGCATTAAAGAAACATAAAAAAAAATAAAAAGATGCATTATTTTATGATGCATTAAAGCAATTGATTATTACATATGCATTATAGATACACCAGGGAGATATATTTTGTTTGACTGCAAAGATTCGATAGTAAAAATAGCAGTGTGCGAAAGTGTATATTCTTTAAATATACATAGCATAGTCATAGAGTAACAGAATTGAAAATCGGACTGTTTTTTAAAGGTCGTTACCGAATCCCTCACCAGTATTTCTCCTACCTAGTAAATAAAAAAATAATACTTAACAGTATTAACAAAAACCCATTCATTGTAGTACACTGGGAGATAAGTTTAAAAAAGATTGCCTGACCAAGGAGTGCCCGTTGTACATTTTTAGATTTTATAGGAACAGGACATAGTTAAATATTTTATACCATCTCTTTGTGACGTTTTATAGTCCAATACAATGGTAAAACAGCAGTGGTAACGTGTTCAATTAAGCGATATCCTGAATGATAACCCACCTATAATCTATACATTCCTATACTTTAAAGCGGGGGTATGTTCTATTTTTTGCTTATTTTGAAAATTCTATATAATAACCTTAAATCAGAGTTTTCAGGGATAGAGTATTTAACCTTTGCATTTAATAACATGCAAAATAGTCGAATTTTACCGTTAGTTTTATGACGTCATTGTTCCAAAAGTGTTAGATTTTTTAAATTAGATTAGTGATGTCATTAAGTTAAGTCTGATCGTTCCATTGAAGTCCTCGTCTTCATTAGCCCACATGGTGCAGAAAAGTCAGACATAAAACTCCATTCATTTCATTTCCATCGAGGTCTATCAATTCCGTACATTGAGAATCGACAATTCCTTTAATAAATCGCTAGTCGTTAGTTTATAATGAAAAATAACCTTGTAAACGGTCGTTCACTCTCAATTCTAGAAGTATCTTACATTATACATAAAAAATAAATCCCATATGACATTGAGAGGCATTACCACGCTTAATTTCATTCACGAATAAGCTATTCACGTCAAATAACTAGCATTTCATTATATTCAATCCACCTCTTAATGTTGTTCTTGGCTATAAGTATTGGAAACGTTCCAATGTCCTACCCATTTTAACAAGGAATTCGATGTATGTATTGTTTTGACGCCACTTTTTAGGCTATTTAGACCAAACAGTTGATATCAAAAGTTACTGGGTTCAGATAAGCTTCTTATGTTATTATTTTAGAACTTTAATATTATTACTAGCCTACGTTTGGAAAAGGTCATTAAAATTCAAATTAGTTTACAATTTTGGTTCGTTTTTTTTGTTATTATTAGATAAGAAAAATCTTGACGTCATCGAATACGATGTTTTTGTTGTACGTACATCGTTATATCTGTATTTCAACATGAAACGAAATCAAACACTCTTACGTTAATAAGTATACGTTTTAGACACCAACATTAAATTCTAGACATAGCCTGCAATTTCGTTGCCAGTCTTGATATTATCGTCTATTGGTATCATCTCATCTAGGGTTTCATGATTTTTCGTCAAGGGGATGTTGAGTTGAGCAACAGATAAATGTTTTGACCAGATTTTAATTGGGGGTAACAGATTTGAGACTGGTGCTCTAAGAAGTATTAAAGTTATACTACTCGTTCTGAACAGGTTTCGTTTGTTCAAATTCTGACCTCATTCGAACGGTAGGCCTACAGAACCAGATTCTGTCCCATTGAAAATTTCCCCAATTCTGACACATTGAAAATTTCCCCAATTCTGACACATTGAAATTTCCCCAATTCTGACACATTCAAAATTTCCCCCATTCTGTCACATTCAACATTTACCTTCTAGTCCTTTTCCGCCATTTTGAATTCTGTCCGCACCTACTATTTTTTTGGTACAAGTGGACGTAGAACGCGTTCTGAACTCTGTTCAAAATTGAGTTGATTGCGCGTTCACTTAACAGCATTACAATCAAATTAAGGAAAAATTCTTCTACTGAAAACAGTATTTCAGAAACTAGAACGAACAGTATACGATTCTAGGTAATCGTCCTTTAACGACTCACATTTTTGACATGAACCAAATCAGCCATGTTATTACTTTTTTTCTGTTGTTGCTTTCATTTGTCTGGTGTGTGAATAATGACCCAGTGAACTCTACATGTTTATAAAATTTGGACCAAATCCAAGTAGTGTCTTAAATTTATGTCAGTGGGACAAAATGTTAAAATGGTGCAGCTGAACCAATAGCTGGCTACATTCTTGACCTTTCCATCGTAAACAAAAGATAATATTCTGAAAAGCTTGTAAAATGACATAAACCAGAAAATGGGCGCAAAGCCATGAAAAGCAAAACAGCAACCAGAACCGTAGAACGAAACACCGAGGGACATAAATATACCGTCTCGTGAAGGGGACATATTACTTGTAGTTACCTAAATATTTCATGGACCAGATGATGAGTCTCAATTACAGTTGTCATTTTTTTTTCTTTTATTTACAGCGTGAACGACAGTTTTAACTGTGATTTGAAGGCTTAGTTGAAATATTATAGCCTTTTTCCAAATTCGATTTATTAGGTCGAGGAAGAGATTCAAAATGGTTAGGAATTACGTGTGTGTTATTTCCATGTAACAACCAAACGTAGTTGCGTATGGACAGATGTACTTTACAACAGAATTCAAAACCTAACAGGACACCGTAAAAAAGGTTGTTTCAGCCCACTCAGATCTGACTTAATTTGCGAGTAGCGTGTAATTTCATTCTCTTTGAAACAAAAGATCAATTTTTGTTACAAGATCACGTTTACATACTAATTTTCTTTTAATTGCCCAAGGAACAATTTATATGAGACCTTTTTGGTAATAGAGCCTCTAGTTTCATTGGAATTAATTAATATGTTTTCTATTTTGATGAAAAAACAAATCAATACTGTTCTTGGTCACATTTAGACTGAAAATCAAAAATATTCCTGCTTTTCAACTTTTATCAATATAACACACAAGGCATCGTATTACGTTACTGACCGAAATGATAACTGCGGAGGATGTGTTTTGTTAGGGCGATTTTATAATTGAAAATCGTGCAATTTGCACTGCAGAGAAATATCATGTTGTCAACTTACTTTTTTTTCCAATACTAACGATTATTTTTCAAACATTGACGATTTTATTTCCAATACTGACGTTTATGACTCACAATATTATTATTTGTCTATCATTTTTCTAATGCTGACGATAATATTTCTACAACTGACGATTTATTTTTCTTATATTAAAGTTTTGTTTCTGTAATACTGATGATTTTGTTTCTGAAATACTAACGATTTTTTACTGACTATTTTGATTTTCTAAAAGGCCTTACTGGTGATTTTGTTTTTCAAATATTGACCATTTTATTCTTCGGATACTGACGATCTTGTTTTTCTGATACTGAAAATTTTATTTTTCTGAAAATGACGATTTTGTTTTTTTAATAGGCCTTACTGATGATTTTGTTTTTCTAAAAATGACGATTTTGTTTTTCTAAAAATGACGATTTTGATTCTGTTATATTGACGATTATGATTTCTAATACTGACGTTTTTTTGTTTTTCCAATACTAATGATTTTATTTTTCTTAAAATGACGATTTTAATATTGACGATTTGAATTTTTTTAATATTGACGATTTTGTATTTCTAAAATGACGATTATTTTATCACGTCTGACAACTGACTAATACTGACGATGACATCGAATCTATGATATTAACGACTCTATCGTAATACAACGATTATTCTTACTAAAATGGCGATAGTTAGCTCATATCTCTTGAATGAAAAATATCAACTCACCTCATCTACAATATTTTCATCATCGTCGAGATATTTCTGGAAATTGACCACTGGATCTGTGGCGTCCCACATTGCGTACACTGAACTACTTGTGTATTCTTCATCCTTCTGTTTTGTTACTGCCATCTGATATCGAGACCAAGACACCGAAGGTTCAAAGCCTTGATTTACCGGAAGCTTCATTTTGGACATTCCTGATATTTTAAGCCTGTACGATTTAACATTCCCTAAGTTGTCCGTCTTGTTAGCATTAGAAAATAAAAGATATTTTGGGTGATTAAAGTTATAGCGATATGCCGCACTAGATTCAGTTTGTTTAAGGCTCTTCTTGATTTTGGTTTGCGAATGCCAATTGTTCGGCCTGGAACTCCACTCGTCTGTCTTATTTTCGGTCTTAATAGACCATGTCGAAAACCGATTTGAAGTTCCTTTAACGTCAATGTCAGCTTTAAAATGAAAGAGATGATGATGAAGATGTGCCACGACGTTCTTCCGAATTCTAGTACCATATGGCTCTTCTGCCGGAGTATAGAACCCGGACGCTAAATAACCAGTTGAAGCTACTTTCACTTCTATGGCACCGTTATTGTGAAACACAAAGTCATATACATAGTCATAATTTATCACTGAAATAACTATACGCAGAACTAAGGTATTGTCCAATAGTCCCCCAAAGAAAGAGTCAATTTTGCCATAAGCGCGATGCCTTCTTAGAGGCATCAGATTGTTTTGTTCAAATATACACACAGCATTTCTCAAGCGTCTTTGACCGCCGTTATTAGCCGCATAGATTTCAATGTCTTGATAATTAGCATAGGAAGGACAGTCAATGCCTGGCACCAGTCCTCTCGTTCTGGTTCCAAATAAACCAGCACTATCGGCAAAATATAACATACTGGAAGCTGGGTTATGAGCAGTGTATAGCACGGCAATTTCCTGCATACTTAGTTCATATACGATTCTCTCTCCTGCATGTCTCACGTCGAATAACTGGATGCCAACCGTCGGCGACAATCTATAGGTAAACTGCCATTTCATGTACTGAACTTGGTTACCGCGAACTGTATAACGAGGACCATTAGGTTCATATTGACGTGGTGCTTCCTGATCTAGCCGGGGAAATGATTCCTCTCCTCTTAAATGTAAAGAAGTGGGTATGTCTTTAATGTCCTCTTGTGGGTATGAAACTCTCGTTTTATTCGTTTGATTCTTCTCGTACTTTTCTAGCAGATCATCCAGAGATGGATACAGTTTACTAGCATACCATACGTTTTGGACTTTCCACTTTCCAGGGTGTATATCTGACATATCAACCAGAAACTGGAAATCCAGCGGATGTAAGGTGTAAAACTCAAGATCATAAGCAAACCAAAACCATGCTTTTCGTTCACCTTTAGCAAGGAAAGCAGAGGAAATTGGAGTCATCGAAAATTTCAAACATTTTTTGCCACAGTTCCCATAAACAGCTCCGTAACTTTCGTTAAGTAACTTCCTAGCTTTCTTGCTTACCAATGGAAGAACTCTTTGGTAGATTGGTCTGAATTCGGCCATACTAAATGGTCTAACATGAAATGGTATTTTGGTTTTTCTAGCAGTGGTGTTGACAACTCTGGCGTATTCTATTCCAGGTAGAGGACCAACTTCATATTCTTCTACAATTGGTGGAATGACATCTGCTCTAAATAAGGAAACCGTTGCTACTCGAGGTGGTAAGTCACCTTTATTGTCCAGGTGTTCCAATACTTTCTTCTTGGGTGCTAGTTTGAGCTCAATTGAATGGATAACATTAGAGCTAACACCTGCTCGTTGGGGATCCGTTATTTTCAGAGATTTGTTGCTTTTTAAAAAGTTTATTATTAATTTGGTTTCTTCTCTCGTGATTTCAGTAAATGGGCCAATTTTGCTGTCGATATATTGTTGTTGATTATGATGACGCTTACTATGAATTTTGGCGTGCTGAGTCTGGGTTTTGCCGTCAGGGTTAAAAGAAGTTAAAACAATTATCACCCCTACTAAAATACAGATGATAAAACTTAGCAGTCCAATAATGAAATAATAGATCTTTGTTTGCTTCTTGTAAAGACCAGAGGAATCAGTTGTCACCAAAAATCTGAAATGACAAAAAGTTGAAAATAAATTAGACCGGAAAAGACTACATACGGGCTGATATTTTATATCCTTTTTCGGAAGAGGGGTAGGGGAGTGAAGGATGGTATCATTTGGATCTTCCTACGACTTATCATCTGCGCCGCCATCTAGGTCCGTTTGTCATATACAGATGCGAAACTCATCACCTCCTTGAACTAAAGATGGTATTTTTTGATTAAATTCTAAGTCAGCCATAATGATATACAGCCGAAAGAATGATACGTAATATATATGAAAGGTTTCTTTTAATTATGAATGACGATAGCAAATTGATAGGAGTTTAATAGAACCCACGCAATATATTATTTCGATGTTATCAAGTCTACCTAACTAGTTCCAACTAATTAAAGTCTTACAGAATCTGTCCTGAAAAAGAAAATTTTATGACTCAATTGAGGTATGGCCATATATCATTTTTGTTCTAAACTGAAATTTGATCCCACGCAAGTCGAAATTAAATACCACATTCCAAGTTCATTTCCATTGATTTTACATCAACCAAACATAAAGATAATACAAATCAATTTATAATATATCAAAAGTACTCATTCCTATTCGCGATATGTATCCTATACATTCTAATTTACTCGGATATTGTCTAAGATCTTAGATAAAGAAAGTTCTGTGATTAACGATAAGGTTAACATCTTGTCTAATGCCGTGGAAACTAACAGTCGTTTATATTGAAATGACACAATGGATCCGAAATGTATATAAAATCTAAGTTTGACCGAAATTGAAACCCAAAGTAGCCAAAATAACATTATTGATCATTATAGATAAGTTAAAAAGGATTTCCAGATTGCGGATTTGCGTTAAAAAGTTGTTTTAGGAAGAGCGAGTTTTTCTTCTTTAGTTGGCAACAGCTTATTCATGACGTCAGCCACAACTTAAAGCTGACAGAATGTCGTTTCGTTGGACTAACATTTATAACTTATAGGTTGAAGAATGTAGCATTGAAATTAGATAGACTTAGACCGATTTAGACAGAGTCGTGTAGGATTTAGATAGATCCATAAGAGACAGAGTAGTGTATGATTTAGATAGACCTAGTCATATTTAGACAGAGTAGTGTAGGATTTAGATAGATCAAGACAGATTTAGACATAGTAACGTATGATTTAGATAGACCTAGTCATATTTAAATAGAGTAGTGTAGGATTTAGATAGATCAAGACAGATTTAGACATGGTAAAGTATGATTTAGATAGACCTAGTCATATTTAGACAGAGTAGTGTAGGATTTAGATAGATCAAGACAGATTTAGACATGGTAACGTATGATTTAGATAGATCTAGATGGATTTAGATACAATCTGCTTATTCATATTAGTTTTTCAATATGAATGTTGATTCAGAGCTCCTACACATTATTGCTGATTTGAATATCGTGCAAGTTTGTGAATCCATAAAAAAAATTCAATTGACGGAGTAGGATGTAAGATCAAAACGTTGAAAGTGTCCCAGAATATACTATTGCTTGATGAATTTGTGATTAAAGTAAACAAAGAAACCGCAATTGATTATGTATCAACTGAATGGGAAATAAATAATAATTTATCAGAACTGTCAGCCAATTTCTACAATGAATTATACTGCTATTGTAATCCGTCTTCTTCTTATGTACTTAAAATTCAAATGAAATCCCTTGATAATCTATGTTAAGATTAACTACAGATTAAATTACAGATTTTTGATTCAGGGTAAGTTTCAGAGTTTTGTTTTGCGTCAGTATTGGTTTCAGAGTTCTTGTTTGGCGTCAGAGTCGGTTTCAGAGGTTTTGTCTGGCGTCAGAGTCGGTTTCAGAGGTTTTGTTTGGCGTCACTGTTAGTTTCAGAGGTTTTGTCTTGCGACAGTGTTAGTTTCAGAGTTTTTGTTTGTCGTCAGAGTTAGTTTCAGAGTTTTATTTGACGTCAGAGAAAGTTTCGGAGTTTTTTTTTCTTTTGCGTCAGAGTTAGTAACAGTGGTTTTTTTTTTTTGTCGGAGTAAGTTTCAGTTTTTTTTTTATCTGGCGTCTGTGTTAGTTTCAGAGTTTTTGTCTGGCGACAAAATTAGTTTCAGAGTTCTTGATTGACAGCAGTGATACATGCGCGTCAGAGTTTTAGCCCCAGAAAATTTTAATTCGGAACAGTTTCATTATGAGATCATTGTAATTTGCGAGTTTATTTGTGATGTAGAAATGACAGATTATTTAGATTGTAAGAGATAAAAACATGAAATACAAATAAAAGTGGGAGTGTATTCTGGTTGATTCTTGTAGAAATTACGAGTAAATGAATGAAATCTCGTCTACTAGTATTCTATCAATATTGATACAACGTGTCGATTAGACATAAAAAAACATTCTATTCCCATGTTTCATTAATTCATCATAACGGATCAATCTGCAGATTACTTCCGCTTCAGGTACAAAAAATACCACGTGTGCGTGTTCGTGTCCTTAATCATCTGAGCGGATACGAATATCACAAATCTTTTCTTAACAAAATTCGACCAATGAATGACAGCAGGCCTATCTTGTGGTATATGCTACGGGACATTATGTTTATAGGAAACCAGCCCAATTTATGCCATTGTCTACCTGGTGATTTTCTCGCACCGGCACGTCTTTCTAGTGTCATTGACATAGGTGGAGATGATAAATTTTGTCATGATTCATAAATCCATGCCATCAATATGTAGGCTGCATTGCGGCACGTAAATTAAATCTACCATAACTGAAAGACGTTGAAACTAGTTTCGGATAGATATCTAACGTAATGAAAGATTTTAACAATACAGCTATTGCAATTTGCTGACTCAGCATATATATATTAGAAATGTACTCCAGCTGAACGACTGTACTATAAATAATATTGTTATAAAACTGTATTATGGTAACCAATAGCGAGTATTTCTTAATGAAATGATGTGGATTTTTACGCCATGCGATTCTGCTCCTTGTCGTCCATGCTGTATGTAGTTAACTGAAAAGGATCAACCCTATACTATTTCCTATTGTCGAGGAATCTCTTAAGGGAGGTACAGTTCCACCTTGCGAATTGTACAATCTTAGCGCATCTAGATTTTCAACGGATTCTATAAAACAACAACAGAATCGAACGATTGCCTCTTGAATTGATATCGAATGATTGTGTTATATAAATTTATCTGTCTGGAACTGGTATCATAGATCATAGAATAGATTGATATCAAATGATTGTGTTATATAAATTGATATGTCTGGAACTGGTATCATAGATCGTAGAATAGATTGATATCAAATGATTGTGTTATATAAATTGATCTGTCTGGAACTGGTATCATAGATCATAGAATAGATTGATATCAAATGATTGTGTTATATAAATTGATATGTCTGGAACTGGTATCATAGATCATAGAATAGATTGATATCAAATGATTGTGTTATATAAATTGATATGTCTGGAACTGGTATCATAGATCATAGAATAGATTGATATCAAATGATTGCGGTATGAATTGTTGTATCGGGTGATCTGTCTGGAACTGGTATCATAGATCATAGAATAGATTGATATCAAATGATTGTGTTATATAAATTGATATGTCTGGAACTGGTATCATAGATCATAGAATAGATTGATATCAAATGATTATGGCATGAATTGTTGTATCGGGTGATCTGTCTGGAATTGGTATCATAGATCATAGAATAGATTGATATCAAATGATTGTGGCATGAATTGTTGTACCGGGTGATATGTCTGGAAGTGGTATCATAGATCATAGAATAGATTGATATCAAATGATTGTGACATGAATTGTTGTATCGGGTGATCTGTCTGGAACTGGTATCATAGATCATAGAATAGATTGATATCAAATGATTGTGTTATATAAATTGATATGTCTGGAACTGGTATCATAGATCATAGAATAGATTGATATCAAATGATTGTGACATGAATTGTTGTATCGGGTGATCTGTCTGGAACTGGTATCATAGATCATAGAATAGATTGATATCAAATGATTGTGTTATATAAATTGATATGTCTGGAACTGGTATCATAGATCATAGAATAGATTGATATCAAATGATTGTGACATGAATTGTTGTATCGGATGATCTGTCTGGAACTGGTATCATAGATCATAGAATAGATTGATATCAAATGATTATGTTATATAAATTGATATGTCTGGAACTGGTATCATAGATCATAGAATAGATTGATATCAAATGATTGTGACATGAATTGTTGTATCGGATGATCTGTCTGGAACTGGTATCATAGATCATAGAATAGATTGATATCAAATGATTGTGACATGAATTGTTGTATCGGGTGATCTGTCTGGAACTGGTATCATAGATCATAGAATAGATTGATATCAAATGATTATGACTTATATTCGTATTGAACAAGAATTGTTCGAATTCGTATCGAATGGGCATCGTGACTAATGATCATTTCATAAATAGTTATGAATAATCAACTTGTGACTATCATAATTTGTTAATGAACTATTTCAGATCAATTAACAAAATAATCATCAACCACAAAAGCTTGGAAAATCTGCGTCGGTGTTCGTCCGAACACATGACACAAACCACGACGTTTCAGTTGTTAGAACAATCATATTCTTTGCAAATTTTGGAAAAGATAGCTTCACTGGAGCTTACCACACTTTTTCATTAAAGTAAATTTTTTCATTACTCTTAGTTACTCGTCGCATAGTGGAGTATTGTGAGTGCCTGATTTATTTTTAATGACATTCGTTGGCTCGTTGCTTGAATCGTGCAAGAGCATTCCCCAAAATAGTAAATAGGATTAAAAATAGAAATTCTTAGGTAATATTGGTGTGGAATTGAGTAAGAAATTATAAATAGTAAATACCTAAGTATATTTTTATGTTTCGGTTATGTCACACCTTTCCAATTATGTAAACACAAAAGATTCTTGAAAGTGACTTTCCTCGAAAATATTGCGTATCATATTTCGTAGTTGTCTTACATGTTGGATAACATGACTTAGACACTAAATAAAAAACAAAACGATTAAACTGTATATACTATAGTCAAAAGTAATGTTAAAATATAGGTGCGCAATTTTGGAGGGTTGATTTGAAACTCGAGACTACTAGAAATGTACCAAAATCGCGTAATTCCTTCAAAACTATCTCCTTTCCTATTTCTATAGATGTATTTTTATATATATGGAAGTATCCCAATAAAAGACGACTCGTCTTTTTAACTTTCACACGCGGATAATTCTGGACACACATGGATTTGAAAGCTTAAAATATTGACTGTGAGCTGTGAACACTTACTTTTAGTATAGCTTTAAAAAATCCCGTACTAAGGGAGGATTGGTAGAAATAGAAAAATGGCGCATCTATCCCTTTAATTATTTCTTCTTCCTAACATTCCAACATTCTTAACATTAGTAGGAAAGATATTTAATCTTTCCGCATTACATTTTTCCGTCACCAATGTCACTAAAACCGTAGCTTCATCATCGTATATGTAATTTGACTTTTAACTTCAATAATATCAAATAAGAAATTGAAAATATAAAAAGATTCCATTAGCTTGAGCCCAAAGGGGTTTTTCTTAACCTTTATGTGTATCAGGTTTGCATCGAGTTGCGGGATTCTCATTTTCACTAAGCATTTCATGACGTCACTATCGCAAAATCTGTTGATATCAAGAGGAGCTAATGATCGTTGTGTATACTTTAAAGCATGTCTGTGATTACATGAATCAAAGACATTTGATGCAAAATCATTACAAGAATCAACGACATCTGACGCAAAATCATTACAAGAATCAAAGACATCTGACGCAAAATCATTACAAGAATCAAAGACATCTGACGCAAAATCATTACAAGAATCAAAGACATCTGACGCAAAATCATTACAAGAATCAAAGACATCTGACGCAAAATCATTACAAGAATCAAAGACATCTGACGCAACATCATTATAAGAATCAAAGACATCTGACGCAACATCATTATAAGAATCAAAGACATCTGTCGCAAAATCATTATAAGAATCAAAGACATCTGACGTAAAATTATGCGAATATTGAAACCATAGATGGTCCCTATACACATTTGAAGTTTTGAAAAAACCTCTTTAACAAAAGTATCTTTGCTGTAAAGTTTGACATCATTCTTACCTTTGAGTTTCATTATAAGTTTCCAAGTTCCCATGACATCGTTTTCTATCTAATCTTTCTGCTGTAGCCATCTATATGCTGATATGAAACCAACGTTAAATTCTTTTCACAATATACAAAAAAGTTTTTGTTTTTTTTTTCCAAAAAAAGATCTAAAAAAAATTTGCGACAAATATTTCTTATCGTTTGTCAATCACTTCAACTTTTCACTCTTATTTTTGTAAGCTTGTTTAGTTGCGAATTGTTTGAATGATAATATTTCTAAAATATAGAGTATATGGTATATATCGTAATTTTTCATTTCATTCACACGTTTTGGTGTGGGTGTGGGACATATCAGCCAATCGTAGGAGTCTTTTTCTTTGTCTCGACCAATCAGAACACTTGGCTCCTTGATTATTGCATCAGCGTTTGTTTACATTTTACAATTCTAAATATTTTACTATATAGCTTTAAGAAAGATAAAAATCTAGCACAGCCAATGGTTAATAGCGGACACATATTGGACATATACGTAGGTCAAATGTAAACATTGACAATATAGAATTTATTCTTATATAAATAATATTATAATGAATACAAGCTTATATAGAGGTCGTGAGGTTATGAGGACAAAAGTATTATGAACTACTAGAGCTCAAATCTACCACAGATGGGAAACATTGATTTTTTTATGCCTTATTATTGTTTCATGAATTGAAGTATTATTGGCAAATATTACATTTTCTATATATCATATTTCCCACCCACAAGCGTTGGAGAAAAACATTATCGATTTGAATTCAGTGAGTCACAAGTGCATCAAGTGCTTTGTCATCAGCAGAATGAAGATTCATCAATAACTTTCAGGGCGTGTCTAGGGTGTTGCCAGCTGGTTCTACACGATTTACAATTCTCGTATTGTCTTATCAAGGTAATTGACTATATCATGGGGGTGGCTGTTTTGGATGGTTAAGTTTCTCAAATGTATTTCATTGATATATGGCACGTGTCGCGGTCGAAGCAAAACCAACTTGCCTTAAAGGGACAGTTTCGGCATCTAATCGTTCCATAGTCTCGGAAACTGGAGTATTTAAGCTAAGCTAATCAGTGTTCACAGTGTTGAGCCTTCAAATCCAAGTGTGTCCAGAATTATCCGTGTTTGAAAGTTTTAAAGACGACTCACCTTTTTTTAGTTGAAATTGTATACCATATATAGAAAAGAAAATTAAATTCAAAATTTTTGTGAAGGCACTATGCGATTTTGCATATTTATAGTATTTCTGAAGACTATTTACATATGTACTCAACACTCAAATACCGCCCCCACCCCCACAAAAAAAATTACGCAGCTGACCCTTTAAGAGTGATGCAAGTCTTACATTCTATTTCTATGCTTTATTAGATAAAACTTGGCTTGTGGGTAAGGTGAATAAATATATTTATATGTATATGCGTCAATTATTGAAAACTATATGAAACATAATCGTGTTCAGTTTTACCAGGATACAAAGGGCTAAACGTAACAACTTACACATATTCTAAGACTTTGCTGATAACCCACACATGTGGACCCGTTTATTGTTCCTTGGATCACGAGCTACACATTTTAAGTCTATTTTGATCTTTATTTTGGTAACATCTTAGTTAAGCCGAGTCAATCTTAAGAGTAATTTCGTCACGACTGACCTTAGTTGTCACACATGGATTAACCTGCGTAAATCCTGGAGTGTTAGGTGACAGTGTTTGTTTACAAAATACAACTGTTTGGGCAGTGTTCCAAAAACGTATGTCACGGAGGGCAAAATAATCACGTGCTGAATGATGATGAAATTTCTTTTGTATGTACATGTATATATAGTAATATTTATTAAATGTATGGAAGTTCGCGACGGAATTTATGCTATCATCTCACTGTAACTATTGAAAGTGCGCATTACTTTTTGGTCGTTCCGTCGAGTAGTTGTAGTCTTGTGTCGTTTGGTTATCGAAGGCTCATATTATTATATTGTCAAGATGAGTTTTTGGTTTGTCTCTGATAGAAATCATAGTTGACAATACAATTCATTATATTGGCCGCAACATGCTTCCATAATGTATGGAATAGTACACGTGTGTACTTCGAGGTTCTTATACAACAGAGATATATCTGTTATAAATCTGTATGAGGTAAAAGTGATGCATTTCCGCTAAGTCTTTCCTTATTTATTTAGTTATCATTGAGTCATTAACCTTGTGATGTCAATAACAAGCTTATGAATTGTATAGCTACATTGTAATATAAAAGGGTTTCTTTTAATTACATTAAAGGGGTTCCCCTCCCCACGCCTGAAAACGGAAGATGTGAATCGACCGGTCGAACTTGAGAGTAGGTCAGGTTAAGGTGCGAATGGACGAGGTACGGTGCGGGATTATTGATACAGTAGAAAATAGAAGAACATATCGTGTTCGCACCGCGCCCGGACCCTTACGTGTTCACTTCTTCGTTTGTATCGACTTCTATTTCGTTTGTATCGAATATCCCGTACCGTACACCGCATCGAACACCACACCTTGTCTATTATACAAGGAAAGCTGAGGTGTATAAGTAAACGTGGGCCAACAAAATGCCCGAAAAGCCAACTCCTTCCCCTGAAGAGGTTCATACATTGTATTATAGTCTAGGTTCTACAATAAAACAGATATTGGTCTGCAGTTTTTGCATTAATAAATCACAGAATAAAAGTCGTCATAAAACATAGTTGATCTGACAATTTTCTCAACTATGAAGATCCACACGTGCTGACAATTATCAAGTCTATGTAGATAATATGCGTGCTGACGACAATTTTCTAGGCTATGTAAATAAACACACGTGCTGACGACTATTTCAAGGCTATGTAGATAACCATATGTGCTGACAATTTGCAAGGCTAAGTAGATAACCACGTGTGCTGACAATTTTCTAGGCTATGTAGATAACCACGTGTGCTGACAATTTTCTAGGCTATATAGATAACCACACGTGTTGACGACATTTTTTAAGGTTATGTAAATAAACGCACGTGCTGACAATTTTCAAGGCTATGTAGATAACTGCACCTGCTAACTATTTTTAAGGCTATGTAGATAACCGCGCGTGCTGAAAAATTTCAAGGCTCTGTAAATAACCGCACGTTCTAACCTTTTCAAGGCTATGTAGATAACCGCACGTACTAACAATTTTTAAGGCTATGTAGATAACCGCACATACTAACAATTTTCAAGGCTATGTAGATATCCGCACGTGCTGAAAAATTTCAAGGCTCTGTAGATAACCGCACGTGCTAACCTTTTCAAGGCTATGTAGATAACCGCACGTAATAACAATTTTCAAGGCTATGTAGATAACCGCACGCACTAACAATTTTCAAGGCTATGTAGATAACCGCATGTGCTGAAAAATTTCAAGACTCTGTAGATAACCGCACGTGCTAACCTTTTCAAGGCTATGTAGATAACCGCACGTACTAACAATTTTCAAGGCTATGTAGATAACCGCACGTACTAACAATTTTCAAGGCTATGTAGATAACCGCACGTGCTGAAAAATTTCAAGGCTCTGTAGATAACAGCACGTGCTAACCTTTTCAAGGCTATGTAGATAACCGCACGTACTAACAATTTTCAAGGCTATGTAGATAACCGCACGTACTAACAATTTTCAAGGCTATGTAGATAACCGCACCTGCTGAAAAATTTCAAGGCTCTGTAGATAACCGCACGTGCTAACCTTTTCAAGGCTATGTAGATAACCGCACGTACTAACAATTTTCAAGGCTATGTAGATAACCGCACGTACTAACAATTTTCAACGCTATGTAGATAACCGCACGTGCTGAAAAATTTCAAGGCTCTGTAGATAACCGCACGTGCTAACCTTTTCAAGGCTATGTAGATAACCGCACGTACTAACAATTTTCAAGGCTATGTAGATAACCGCACGTACTAACAATTTTCAAGGCTATGTAGATAACCGCACGTACTAACAATTTTCAAGGCTATGTAGATAACCGCACGTACTAACAATTTTCAAGGCTATGTACATAACCGCACGTACTAACAATTTTCAAGGCTATGTAGATAACCGCACGTAGTAACAATTTTCAAGGCTATGTAGATAACCGCACGTACTAACAATTTTCAAGGCTATGTACATAACCGCGCGTACTAACAATTTTCAAGGCTATGTAGATAACCGCACGTACTAACAATTTTCAAGGCTATGTAGATAACCGCACGTACTAACAATTTTCAAGGCTATGTAGATAACCGCGCGTACTTACTATTTTCAAGGCTATGTAGACGAAAAACCAATCATTTCTTACAAATTTAAAATTTTGTTTCAGAATGCACTAAATGCATTCAATTTTCCAAATAATTTCTTGGCGAACATTGCAGGTCACAAAGCTCCAAACATCCTCTTAAGTTCAAGTAACCTATCCTTCACGTATTAAGCCGATCCTATTGTGGACCACCAGCAGTTATTCTTCAGATTATCATTGTTCGACTATCCCTATTTCTAATCCGTTATATTCTCAATGGGGCAGAATTATGTTATTGTATTATTTTGATTCAATCTGTACATTAGTTTTTTTATCAACAATCAAAAACATAGCTTTATTATTCCGAAAGTAAATGTGTTATTTTTTTAATTTTTCTTTTTAATGCTTCACGAAATCAATAATGTCAGTCTTATTTATTAAACCAAACATTCGTTCCGTTATTTTTCAAACTTTAATTTTTAATAGAGTCACTTTGGTTTGGGTCTGATGACAGCCACCTTGTCAAATTAATCTTCTGACGCTAGCATTTTGTGAAACTGTGTTGATCAGATTGGGCCAAAAGATTAATTTGTCAAATGTTCAAGGGGGTTGTCTTTAGACCTTAACTGAA